AGAGCAGAGTGGACAGACAAGTCAGGCAGCAAATCGAACGATTAAACGGACAATTAATTAGCCACGACTAGACAGGAGATATATATACTATATATACATATATACTTGTGCAAAGATCACTCGTTGACCTTGAACGCGCACAGTGGATTAAAGGATTAGCCCCCTAAAGCGGGATATTCCCATTTACATTTTCCCATCACTTCCTTTTCGAGTCGCGAAGCAAGAAGCGTGTACACAAACAAACGGCTCGTTGAAAAGAAGGCTCCAAGCGGAGGAAGAGCGACTATAAGATCTCTGGAATTATCACACTTCAACAAAAGCTAACAAGAGACTGGGGCTTTTACAGGAGCGGAGTGCTTTAAAATTTGGAAAAAACTTTTTTTTTAAATGAAATTTTAAACTATGTATGTTTCTAAATTTTGTAAAGTTTTAAAAATTTTTGAAATAAGAATTTATCTCAAATCTCTGTGAAATATCCTTAAATCCGCTCCTGGTCTCCCAGAACGAAGAAAAAGAGCGAAACAAAACAAAAGCGACAAAATGCCCTCTTCTTCTTCTCCAGATCCTCCGCCCACCGCACCCTCTCACTTTAATCAAGCAGAGCCGCTACAAAAACAGGGGCGGAACGGGAGGAATGGGGACAGCAAAACAGAGAACGAGGGGCCGAGATAATCTTGAGCGCATCGCGCATGGCCATAAGTAATAAAATAAACACGGACCGAGGCACAAAAAGGAAAAAAGGATGGCAAAAGGCAGAAGGCGCAATGTGTACATAAATCTTTTTGGTGGAGCGAGAGGCCCAAAGACCTGGACCTGGGCTGCATACGTCTATATATATTATAGGTATATGTATATATATGTACATATAGCGGGCGTGGCCTGGCAACTCGTTTTTGACTTTGAATTTCGCCACGCAAATGGTCGCGCTTAGTTTGTATTCTTCTTTGCATTTAATTTTTGTTTATTGTCGCGCTTTTTCTAGTCGAGAGACTCGGAAGAAAAAGAGCGAAGAATCTTCGACCTTAAAAAGAATTTCAGTCTAATTGGAAATCAAGTGGTCTTTCGGTTTTTTGTTGATTTGCTAACTATATTTATTGAAATAAATTATGAAAGGTAATTTAGGTTACAAAATATATAAACAATAATTTAAACTTTATATTAATAAACAAAAATATTTTTATATTTTTTTAAAATCATATTAAAAAAAAAACCTTTACTAAATACATTAACTGTTTTAAATTTTATCTAAGTAAACTACTAGATTTGTAAATGCAATATCAGGAAGCTTAACTTAGTTGGGTGACAAAAAAATAAATTATTTAAATTAAAACAAATTTAGTTGTTACAAGCTGTGCTCTTAATTGAATAAAGAGAGTAAGCAAATGCATCCCAAGTACGAGTTCCAATTGGAAACGCACGGCTGTCTGATTAGAATGCCTTGAAATGGGAGCGATCGCTTCTTATCAGCCATAACGAGAATCCAATAGTTTCAAGCGCAGCTTTCGAATTAGTGCCGATAAAACAATGAACAAAGACGAAATTCGATAGCGATAAAAAGGGGGACAAGACAGAGAGAGATAGAGAGAGAAAAAAGGAATAAAATTGATAACTGTGCCAGTGTGCGCTTACCACAAGTGCCGTTGATTGAGCAATTTGAAGCAATGACCCGACCGCATAACAACAACAACAACAGCAGCACACTTTACTAACAACAAATCACAGTTCTCCAATTGGAGGGCGCAGCGCAGACCGAGTAAACAACAACAAATCACTTTCGTTTTTGCGCGGCGACGAGAGTAAATACGAAAAATCAACCGACCGGCTTGTTCAGCAAATGCAAATGCGGCGAAAAAAAAACTTTATAAACAATATATACCGCCAGGCACAGCTGAGACGCTCACACAGACGAGCGGACACCCGCACACACCTGCAGCGAGTGGAAAGAGAGGAGCAACAGGCGCAACGTAGGATTCCTGGAATTTTTCACTTTGTGGCACCTAAAGTGCACTTTTTTGACTTTATGGTTTCACTAGAAAATGTATGGTTTATTCATGTGCCAACTGTTGTTTTCCTTGGCGGTATTTGTTTACAATCATTGGAGTATTATTAAATTATAACGATTTTATACGAATCTAAACGCGCCGCCGCAACTTCGTGTATGACCGTATTCCGAGTGAGGTAAAATACCACTTCCCAATACGACTTAGTTGAAATATACTAATCGTATTCGAAAAATACCACATTTGTTACCCGCCTAAATTCATTAAATTTCTATTTTATTTTTAAAGTAAATCCATTATTTGGTTATTTCAAAAGTTGTTACACTATTAACCAATTTAAAAACTATTTTATCACCCATACTAATTTTTGACAGAAATAATTTCTTGTTTTATTTTATAGATAATATTTTTTCAACATTCTTAAAGAACATTTATATTCGAAGCTTTTTTTTGACGAAAGCAATCTTCTTTTATTTGAAAAATACTGTACTTAAGTACTTAACTAGTTAGTATTCTTTACACTTTATCAGGCCTACAAAAATAGAGTTTAGAGTTAAAAGAGTTTTGGTAATGCACGACAGCGAAAGAGTTTCGACACAAAATGCTTGTTAATATTGGGAATGAGATCCCCTCCACCTGAACTTCAGTTCTCCTTCTTTTGGATAGAGGCAATCCGCCAGGCGCCAACCAAATAACGCAGCCAGATCATGAACAAATCCCTGCCCATCTGCAGCCACGACCAAAAGGGTGTCAATTTCGAGCCATCGATCTCCGTCCAGCGAACTGCCACCTCCTGCATGGGCAGTTTCAATCTTTCGGCCAAATAAAGCAGCTCCACATCAAAGGCCCACCGTTCCACATGAAGACTGGTAAAGAGTTTTCTGGCCGTAGTTCGGGTGAACAACTTGAAGCCACACTGGGTATCGCGAATGGAGCGCACGGCAAATAGCCAGACGAGGAAATGGAAGCCGTGCATCAAAATGGTTCTGAGGGAAAAAGAAAGTAAGGATTAAATTTGATTTATCTATAAAGTTTTAACTCTCACCTAAAGAAACTCCTCGTGGCAATTGCATCGTCTTCTAAATGGGCCCTCGATCCTATGGCAATGCCATCGTCTCGCCATTCGGGTGATAGTTGCTTCAGGGCCACCTCCAGCTTATCGTAGTCGGGGAACTTGGTGGCTCCATCCGCATCCGCGAAGAGCAGATTGCGACCCCGTGCACTCAGCATGCCCATGCGAACGGCTCCGCCTTTCCCCCGATTCTCAATCAGTTCCAGGACGCGCACCTTCTCTGCTCCGTGCTTTTTCGAGTAGCCCAGCGCCACGGATACCGTGGCATCTTGGCTGCCGTCACTCACCACGATTACCTCGTATGTAAAGCTGGAATTACCGCCGGATTTCTGCTCCAGGAAGGCCAAACACTCGTCCAGCATGGCGGGCACTGAAAATGTATAATTGTATGGTTATTACTAAGGCTCTATAAGGTTATAACTTCTATAGGAATCCCTATTCTTAGTAGAGCCCTGCGTGAATCATTTAATTTTTGTTTTATCATAGTATGCCATGAAATTTCTGATTTGTTTAATTCAATTCTATGTGAAATAAATTGAACGTTTTTCTAATTTTTTTAGAAATTGTATTGAATGAATAATTTTTATGAATTTGCCGGATTTTTTTGTGGGCTTTCTTTTGAGAACAGAAAGTGGAAAATTTTCAACAAATCAATGTTAATTGCTTAGTAAATAAAATTCAGGCAGATTTAATCACAAAATTATGGGGCTTTCTTCTTCAAAAGCAATTGTCGTTTGAATTATTTCGGAATTCATGCCATTCATTCAATTCTATTAAACTCAAAATTCTAATTAACACATTCATATAAAACAGGGACCGTAAATAATCGTTATTTGAGGTTTTTATTTTAAAAGGCCTACTGAGAGTTAAAAGAACGTTATTTTTGACGTTTAAAAAAAATATCACAGTAGTCTTTTTGAAATAAAAATCTCAAATAACGATTATTTACGGTCCCTGATATAAAACAAAAAATTCTAAATAAGATTACAACAGTTCAACTTCTATGGGAATACTTCTAATATCTGCTTGATTACTTCAAATTCAATCATTTTAAAGATACTAGTGTTTCCGGTATAGAACTTAAAATGTAGACAGTCGATCGTAAATGGGCATAGATAAAAACATGAATGTGATTCATTATAGAAGCCAACGTACATCGCTGCTCCTCATTATAGGCTGGTACAATGACACTGAGCTCCAAACTTGGCGAATCCTCGAGACTCGGAAAGGTCACTGTTTTGATGCTGTGCGGATCCAGGAAGGTCTCCTCATCCTTGTGCCTCTTGATGTTGGGATAGGGCTTGGTCTTGTAGAGCACCGCAGCCACAACCTAGGGAATGGGTTATCAATAATATGATAATGATAGGCGGTATGTTTATAAACTCTTACTAAAACGACCGCAATTGCAACGGCGGCGAGCAGATAGAAAAACAGCTGGCATAGGCAGGCCAACATCGTGGGTCTATTTTAGCGGCTAGTGTATTTGAACAGGTGCACCTGCTACCTGTCAGCAGACATTACTTCTCCAATTTGTGCGAGATAAACGGAGCCACGTATTGTTTTCCAAGAATTTTATACCGAATTGCCAGGCAGCTGATTAGGGTTGTCAACTTGTTTTAGAGATGGCACTTCTCTAAAAACAGTGACTCGTTCACAGTGACTTAATATTTCGATAGGTGGGCTATCGCACAATGCTAGATTTTATGGAAAAGTTGGTTAACGGTTTTTGGGAAAAGCTTTTTAAAAATAAATGATCTTGTAAAAAAAATTTAAAAATTTGTAAAAATTGGAAAAATAATTTAATTAAATATCTTAAAACTGACCTTAGCCACTGTTATCTTAACGTCACGTGCCAAATGCGCAGGCGCTCTCTTTCAAAATGAAAAACAACAAATTCGTAGTATATAATTCTCTCTTCCATTCAGATACACACCATAGGAATTTTTCCTCTGGGCGGAATAACAATTTGTTTATAGTCAATTAAAATGTGCTTGTGAATTAACGATAGATATAAAAACAAAAATGAAGTTTTTCAACTTTATAGTGGCCGTATTAGCTTTAATCTGCAATGGCGTCGAAGCCATTAAATTGCAGGCAAATGTGGGGGAGCTGTTTACCTATAAAATCGAACCGCAGCTCTTCAACTGGACCCACCAGGTGATTAGCCAGCAATTTCGGTACAGACCCTCCTTGAAGAACTACCCCGATTTGCCCAGTTGGATGAGATATATGTATAGTCATGAGTACCATGCCGGTTTCCTCTACGGAACTCCGCCGAATTCGGCGGCTGGCAAGGAACTCAGTTTGGATATAGTGGCCCTGAATCGCCAGAATTACGAAACCCGACATGTCGTCGTCTCGATGTTCGTGGCCCATAAGTTTCCCACTCCAAATGTCGTGCAGATGAAGATCAACAACCTAAACTGGGTGCACCTAATGGATCCGGGTAGGGTGGAAGACTTACGCAACATATTCCGCAATGATTTGTGGCCAAATAGCAAGGAGGATTTGAGTGTGGTCTTTATGGAGTCGGCTGTGAATATGGGAGGACGTCTTCCGCTGCGACCCCAGCAACGCGAGGGGTAAGTTTAAGGAAATCTATGAAAATTTAAATTTATTTAAAAATGTGCTGAAAAGTATGCTACGTTGTAAACATGAAAAAAGTATAGCATACTTTTAAACACCTTTTTAAAGAATTTTTTTTCAAATATCTAAATCTAAATATCTTCTTACAGAGTCATTGTCCATGTGGGAAGCTTTGCCCAGTTCTCACCCCGACTTATGGAGCTCCAGGAGGAAGTGCGTCCGCTATATAAACTCCCATCCTGCACCTACAAGCGCACATCGGTCCAAAAAATCTTCGAAAATGTGGGCTTCAAGCTGGACTGGTGCGCCTTTCGAATGGTGGGCATGGAATCGCCCACCGAGATCCTCTTCCACAGCGGCAAGCAGAACGAGCAGCAGGCGACGGAGGATCAGAGGGAGCAGGATCGATGGATGGGCATCGCCAGGGAGGATGTTCCCGAGCGCAATTACATCGATGAATTCGCCTTTGCCTTCGCCATTCCGGGCATGATTTTCGCCATTTTAATCGGGATGCTATCGGCTGTTTTGTGCTTCCACCACGAGAAGTTGTGAGTTCCCTGCTTTTGGGAAAGAGTCTTTTTGATTTTAATTATTTGAAATCTTCCGTTTCTTTGCTCTTCAGTTCCGATCCGCATTCTGAGTTTTTCTTTGCCAACATTTTCCACATCTGCGAAGAGTCCTGTGCGCCAAGCGCGTCAAGCGATTCTGGGGCGGATGATGGTTCAGAGAGGTGATTTTCCAATAAATCTATTTTAGTTTTTTTTTCTCCTTTCTTAATTCTAAACACTTGAGTAACGCTGTGTGCTTTTGTCAGCTCTTCAAACTCGGATTATCCCATGTCATCCACGGTTCAGATGGTCCAGTGTTCGGATAGCAAGTCGAATCAACCCATTACCACTTTGAAGAGCCTTAAGGACCCAAATTTCCTTCTGGACAATACTAGCATTCGATCTCACAGGTTGGCTATACTGCAAAATATATTAAATTATATATTTATAAATAATAATTTATTTATTACAGTCCCAACAACAGCTTTTACCAGTTGGACTGCGGCACCTCGAGCATTTATGCCCGGCCCAAGCCACCACCTTATAAGGGCGGCACCTTGGGACGGAATGGCGTGGATATTTGACAAACATCTCCCCGAGTTCTCTACTGCTGAAGGGCATTAAATCGGAACGAAGGAAATCTCAATAAGCAATATCGAGGAGCGTTATATCAATTGCATAAATACTCACACCTGCCGAACTAGACGAACCATATCGTAATTATCAATTTATACACATACGCAAGCATGAAACTAGCCAATTTAGTTTGCCATTTAAGAGTGAAGGTTATGAAATAAAGGATCGTTTTTTTAGAGAGCTCTAGTTTTCTTAGATGGGAAAGTAATAAAATAACCAGGGTCCGTTAATAGTCGTTATTAGAGATTTTTATTTTAAAATAATCAACAATTTGAGTGGTTTTTATGCACTTTATAGACATGAACAAATACCAGTCAATTTGGTTTTCAGATTTGTTGACATGCATATACTTTGTGGACAAGAACGTTATTTTTGACGTTTAAAACAAAATATTACAGTAGTCCTTTTAAAATAAAAATCTCAAATAACGATTATTTACGGTCCCTGAAAATAACAAACCACACTTTTCAAATTTGCGCGCCATTACTCAAATCGATTTTTCAGCATCAATCGATGTTTATGGCAAAGCAATATATCGATGATATCGCTGATATAATCGACTGAGTTTCCAGCCCTGGAATGAATGTTCCGCAAGTTTTCGGTTTTTGGAGAAAGTTTTTACAGTTTTTGCGCGCTGCGCTGTGCCAGAATAATTCGCAATGGCGCCGCCCGAAGCTGGGCTCCTTGAGCTCTTTGAAAACCTGCTCGATCGCTACAAAATCAACCTGCTGCAGATGATATTCGGCACGTTCATCGCCACGATCGTGTTCTTTGGCGGCCTAATGACCTTTGTGGAGAAGTACCTGCCGAACAGCATTCGCCAGTCGTTTAGGTACGGCAAGCACAGCTTCAAGGGCGAAACGGATCCTTTGGTGGCCTGGCTGGAGGTCCCGAAGTCCTGGTTCAAGCACTTCTATGTATTCGCCTTATTCTGGAGCTGGCTGGGATTCTATTTGCTGGTGACGACGGTGAGGGAGCAGCGGGAGGCCCCTGAGTTCGTCCTGCGCTTCCTGGACTTCATGGGCGGCGGTCGGAGCCATCGCAAAGTGGAGATCGACTCCACCACCGCCTGCGTGGGCGCACTGATGCTCACGCTGCAGTGCACCCGCCGCTTCTACGAGACCAACTTTGTGCAGATTTTCTCCAGCAAGAGCAAGATTAATCTATCCCACTATGCGGTGGGTTATGTCCACTACTTTGGCGCCATCATAGCTTTGCTGTCCAACACCTCGGGCTTTGTGCGCGGCTCCCGGCCCATGGAATTCAGCCTGGACCGGCTGACCGGCCAGCAAATACTCTACCTAGCCGTCTTTTTCGTCGCCTGGCAGCAGCAATATGCCAGCAATATGATATTGGTGAGGCTGCGAAAGGATCCGCAGACGGGAAATGTGCGCACCGAGAAGCATCTGCTGCCCAAGGGAGGCCTATTTAATCTTCTCTCGTCGCCTCACATGTTCCTCGAGGTGGTCATGTACTTCTGCATCGCTGATCTCTACATGCCCGTGAGGATATGGCGACTGATCTTCCTCTGGGTGGCCAGCAATCAGACGATTAACGCCCTGCTCACCCACAAATGGTACCGCGAGACATTCCGGGAGTATCCCAAGAACCGACGTGCCATCATTCCGTTCCTGCTTTGAGTCTGAGTCCGAAGACTGGAAAGTAATTTCGCATTTTTGTACAAATAATTTAGTAGTGGAATTTATTAAAGTCGTTTTACACGCACTGAAAAATACGTGTGTGCTCGCTGGTGATTTTAACTACAAAACGATAGAGGGGGAACTTGAACTGGAACAGGGGACTGCAGTCGATTCTATTTGAACAAGAAACTGAAAGGGAGAGAGGGATAATTAATTGATTGATTGGTTTTCAGGGGGTTATAGAGTATCACCTATAGGGATAACCCTGCGCCTTCGAACGGAAAACGGAGAGCAGGAAGGAAAAGAAGACGGTGAGGAGCACCAGACCAGTCATCGCCATTATCCTGTTCTTGTTGTGGCTCTTTGGGGTTCCCGATTCAATCAGCAGAATCATGCCCAGCACAATCATGGCATCTGAAATGGGAAGGTGATTTGATGATAAATTGTATTGCAAGATTTTTGAGAAACTTGTGAAATAATATTTCTGCCGGTGAAAGTAAATTAGGTTAATTAGCACTCTGATAAACACTAGTTTCTTACAAAAAATAAGGAAAAAATATAAATTGCATAGAAAAATAGCAATTTTAATCTTTGAGTCATGAAGTTCGACAGTTGGATAAGTACTTCAATGGGAACAAGAGCTATTTCCCTACAAGAAATGTTGTACAGAGCTAAAAAACTACTATTTTCAAACAAGAAATGTTCTTCAATTTTAAAAATCTACTATTTCCATACAAGAAATGTTGTATAAAGTTAAAAATCGAATATTTTCATATAAATTTTAAGTAAAATATTAAAAAGCTTGAAGAATTTTCAACGGGGTTATGTGGCAATTTCATGCTTTGAGTCATGAAGTTTGACAGTAAGATAAGTGCTTCAATGAAAACAAGAGCTATTACCATACAAGAAATGTTCTACAAAGTTAAAAATCTAAAATTTGTATATACATTTTCAGTAAAAAAGAATAATTGAATAGTTTTCAACTAGGTTATGTGGCAATTTTATGCTTTGAGTCATGAATTTCGAAAGTTAGATAAGTACTTCAATGGGAAAATATGATATTTCCATAAAAGAAATGTTCTACAATGTGAAAAAACTAATATTTTCAGTCAAAAATTAACAAATCTTCTTAATTATCTTCCTAAGGTCCCTGAAAAACCACCTACGGCCCAGAATATACCCCCCACTCACTCAGGAACATGACGATGTAGGTCTCCACCACCAGCTGGCCCTGCGAGGACCCATGAATGTAGGCGACGCCGCCGTTCTGCGACTTGTGCACCAGCGGCGGACCACGGATGTGGTTCCACATCTGGCCGGAGATCATGGCGAAGCAAAAGAACACAGCGATGGCTCCCCAGAGGTTCTTATTGTACAGGAACTCCAGATTGTTGCGCCGGATGTAGAGGAAACTGCCGACCAGGGCGACCAGCGTGATCATGGCCACGGTGCCGGAATAGTTGGGCGGACGGAAGATGCGGATGGTGATGTCCGTGCGCTCGGCCACGAATTTCGCTATCGAATCGGCGGCAAAACCGACGCGATGAATGTCCATCGTATCGGCGCCCTTTGGCTTGCCCTTGGCCGGGAAATGCATGAAAACGGGGGCGGTATTGAGGCGCAGCAGTTGGAAAACCTCGGAGCCATCATCGAAATCGACCATGGCGAAGAAGAGCTTGTTGGAGTAGGTCGACGAGAAGCGATAGGAGTTGGCCACGATGGCGAACTCATCGTGGGCATGACGGCAAATCTGGCACTGCCGCGAGGGAGCCAAAGCGGTGAGCATCACGATCATGGAGTAATTCCTGGGCGCACTCTTCACGTACTCCCGGAACTTGGGTCCATTGAAGCGGAGCAGCGGCTTCTTAGCGTTCATCTCGACCAGGTTTTGTACTTTCTCCGACAGCGAGAGGCCCGTCTGAAAAGGGTTTTATATTATAACCATTAATAACTTCTAATCTTTCTAGCCGGCATTCTGGGATTCTGGGTATGTGGAGCTGGGAAAAGTGACGTGGCCACAAACAAACCTTGGGCTTGGCCTGGGCGGCCGTGTAGATGGCGAATATCGCCACTATCAGCAGACCGCTGAGCAGCGTCTTGTGCAGCAGCCTCATCCTGCAGGCGATGCGCTTAACAATTTCACTACTTTAACGCAAAATCACAGAAAAAACGTTTAGTCCAAAATATTTCTTCCGGCGCATGCAGCTGATTGTGAATGGCAAGCGGCACCTGCGTGGCGTTCGCTGTGAATGGCTAGGATAGAGGTGGGCCAAAGCCTGTCTATCGATATATTAAAATAGTAATTTTTGGAAGCAAATATTACCAAGGCCACTTAAAAAATAACAAAATATTTATTGCAAGCCCTAGTTTAAAAAAAGTAGTTTTTATAATTTTCTATGCTTTTTTTTTAATTTAATTCAATAATAACTTTAACCGATAGCTTGTAATAGTGCTATCGATACCGCTATGATCAGTGTGCCGTCACTAGACGGCTGGTTTTGTTGTCTTTTTTTCCTGGAATTCTAATTTTTAAACGCATTTTGGAACGATTTTACTGCATTTACTAGCATGAGCGACGTGCTAAAGAGCTCGCAGGAGCGATCCCGCAAGCGGCGTTTGCTTTTGGCGCAAACTGTAAGTTTTTCCCCTCACTAATCAACCAAAAAACAATCGGCGTCGAATGGAACTCATAAATTATGTATTCTACTAAACTTAGCTGGGTTTGTCGAGCGTGGATGATTTAAAGAAGGTCCTGGGCAATGCGGAGGACATAAACAGCAGTCGCCAGCTGAATCCCGGTGGGCAGCGCGAGGAAGAGGACGGTGGAGCCTCCTCCTCCAAGAAGGCAACCAACGAGATCATCTACAGGGACTCCTCCACCTTCCTTAAGGGAACCCAGTCTTCCAATCCGCACAACGACTACTGCCAGCACTTTGTGGACACCGGCCAGCGTCCGCAGAACTTCATCCGCGATGTGGGACTGGCTGACCGGTTTGAGGAGTACCCGAAGCTGAGGGAACTGATCAAGCTGAAGGACAAACTCATTCAGGACACGGCATCCGCACCCATGTACTTAAAGGCGGATCTCAAATCGCTGGATGTCAAGACTTTGGGTGCCAAGTTTGATGTCATACTGATTGAACCGCCGCTGGAGGAATACGCCAGGGCAGCTCCTTCTGTGGCCACTGTGGGTGGAGCTCCTCGGGTCTTTTGGAACTGGGATGATATACTTAGTAAGTACTACTGCATGAATGGATTCAATGAATTTTTTGTTTTAAATGAATGAATTAATTAGAATTTTCAGTTTAATATAATTGAATGAATTTGAATTTTGAGTTTAATATTTTGAATTTTTTGTTTTATATGAATGAATTAATAGAATTTTGAGTTTAATAGAATTGAATGAATTTTAATTTTGAGTTTAATAATAACAATTCAATCAATTATTTTGAATTTTTTGTTTTATATGAATGAATTAATTAGAATTTTAAGTTTAATAGAATCGAATGAATTTGAATTTTAAGTTTAATAATAACAAATCAATGAATTATTTTGAATTTTAACTAGAATTTTGAGTTTAAAAGAATTGAATGAATTTGAATTTTGAGTTTAATAATAACAATTCAATTAATTATTTTGAATTTTTGGTTTTATGCGAATGAATTAATTAGAATTCTGAGTTTAATAGAATTGAATGAATTTGAATTTTGAGTTTAATAATAACAATTCAATGAATTATTTTGAATTTTTTGTTTTATATGAATGAATTAATTCGAATTTTGAGTTTAATAGAATTGAATGAATGAATGGCATGAATTCCGAAATAATTCAAACGACAAATTCTTTTGAAGAAGAAAGCCCCATATTGTTGTGATTAAATCTGCTTGAATTTTATTTACTAAGCAGTTAACATTGATTTGTTAAAAATTTTCCACTTTTTGTTCTCAAAAAAAAGAATAAAAAAATCTGGCAACTTCCAAAAATTCATAAAAATTAGTCATTATTTATTCAATGCGAAATAAATTAGAAAAACATTCAATTTATTTCACATAGAATTAAATTTAACAAATCAAAATTTTTATGGCATACTATGATAAAACAAAAATTAGTAACTTATTAAGTAGCCCCCGGTAAACTCAAGTAATTGCATCTAATAACCTTGGTTTTTTATTCAGATTTGGATGTTGGCGAAATAGCAGCCCACCGCTCGTTCGTATTCCTTTGGTGCGGCTCCTCGGAGGGCTTGGACATGGGCCGCAACTGCCTGAAGAAGTGGGGATTCCGGAGGTGCGAGGACATCTGCTGGATACGCACGAACATCAACAAGCCCGGCCACTCCAAGCAGCTGGAGCCGAAGGCCGTCTTTCAGCGCACCAAAGAGCACTGCCTGATGGGAATCAAGGGCACGGTTCGCCGGTCCACGGATGGCGACTTCATACATGCCAACGTGGACATCGATTTGATCATCTCGGAGGAGGAGGAGTTCGGCAGTTTCGAGAAGCCCATCGAGATCTTTCACATCATCGAGCACTTTTGTTTGGGTCGTCGGCGTTTGCATCTGTTTGGCAGGGATTCGAGCATCCGTCCGGGATGGTTAACAGTGGGTCCGGAACTGACCAACTCGAACTTCAATTCGGAGCTGTATCAGACCTACTTTGCCGAGGCTCCGGCCACGGGTTGCACCAGCCGGATTGAGCTGCTGCGGCCCAAGAGTCCTCCGCCGAACAGCAAGGTCTTGAGGGGCAGGGGACGCGGCTTTCCACGCGGTCGTGGCAGGCCGAGATAACCAGATTTTCACTCAACAACTGCATGTATTCTAGTGTCTAAGATCAGATTTTGTTAGGGCTAAGAGTAAGATTAACATTAAAGACTATTGCTGCAGACTATAGAGCTTGATTAATGCTGCAGACTGTGGTGATTGCTCAGGTGCCTCATGTAGATGTCCAGCTCATCCTCGCTGGAGGCTTCTTTATCTTCCGCTGGCTGCTCCCTCAGTTCCTCTTCATCATCGCTATCCTCGAAATAGGCATCTTCCTCATCCTGCTCGATTTGCTTCAAATCGTCCAGCAAAGTGTTGTCATCTACGGCCGTGTAATCAAAGTCCTTATCCTCGCCGCCCAGGAAGCGCTCCTTCATCAGGCTCAGGAACTCGTGGCGCAGCAAATCGCGCTCTCCAGGATTATAGAATACCGGCGTGGAGATCTTTGTTATATTGGGAGAAACTCTAGCTGCTGCATTTCGACTTGTGGAGCAGGCTATGGGCTCGTCATCCTCAAATCCACCCCACTGCTTTCTACAAGCAACTGGGACTTCAAAGTCTGCCAAGGAAAGCTGCTCTCTGCTGACCTCCACTTGCTCCTCCTTCTCCTGCTGCGTTTCCTCTAGCAACTCATCCCTTTGCTTTTTCTCCAGCGTGTGCATAAGGATTCCCGAGAAGCTGGTGTTCCTAACATCGTAGCTATCCCGCGCTTTCTTCTCCGCCTCCGTGAGATATTGACCCACCAGTTCCTGGTAGAGATCGGGTGCCCGTTGCATCATCTCGTGCTCGCTGAAGTACTCTCCCTTCTCCAGGAGCTGCTGCATGGCGTGGTATCTTCGATTTTTAACGCAAACCGAATGAGTGCTCAGTTTCCGCCGGAAATCCTCCAGCAGCAGGCACATCTCCTCCAGATTCTCATCGGGTTTGATGGGTTCCTTGACGGCCAGATCCTGGAAGGAGCTCAGTTGTCTGGCATTCAGGTGGCTTCCAAATCGAATGAGGAAATTCTCTCGGTTCTTTTCAAATGCCTCCCGAGCAATTCCTTGCTTCTCCTCGAAGGGAATTTCCGGATCATCGATTTGCTGTGACTTAAATACGATATTGCTGTTTTCGGCCAGCGATTTGAAGATGTCCATTAGCTCCGGGGGAAGGTCTGGCTTCGGAATGGTGCTTGCGTTGCCCTGCTCCTCGTCGTCTCCTTCAGCTCCTCCAGTTGTCATAATTGTTTACGCAAATTGCAGAAAAGTGTGAAATAAAAGGTAAACAAATGCTTCTTCTTGCCTCGCGTAAATGTCATTCACACCGAGTTGGCAGGGACATTCTCATTTTCGCTAAAATTTTGGAGATTTTGAAATCTGTAGAGTTTTTAAGAAAAGTTTTAATGGATTTTTCTATATATAAAATACAAAAAGTATGAAGAATAAAATAAAAACATAATTGGATGAATAAATATTTGTTTCATTTCGAACTTCACCGAACATAAACGTAAATAAAATGTAATGTATTTAACAAAAAAAAGTTTAATAATTTATTTTTAAGTTTTACAGATCAAAATACTGAACTAAACCCCAGAACTTTAAATTTGTAATTTATAGTATTTTAAGAGAATTTCAAAACGAGAACTACCCATCGATTATCCTCAGCGTTGCGAAAGTTGGTAACCCTGCGGCTCCACATAGCGGCTGTATTTTCATTACGAACTTTATCAGAAGTCGAACTGTTGTGTTTATCGCTTTGTTCAACGCCACTCGGTGGTTCAGTGGTTCAGTGGTGCAAATGTGCGGCCAGCGATGACTAATTAATCAATACTAGCGGAAGACCGAGGAATCCCCGCGCAAGATGTCGTCCATTGATTGGGGCGACTTCGCCTGGAACTGGACGCAGTTCTGTCCCACGGGACTGAAGCCGTTCGCCAACGAGACCAACGATCTGCTGCCCTGCTTCCAGAAGATCCTGCTCCAGCTGCCCGTCTACACAATCTTTGCGGCCATATCCGCCTACAATTTCGGCAATCAGTCGCGACCCGTCGCCCGGAATGGACTGCAGCTGCGGATGCTCTGGATCCGGGCCTTCCTGGCCATCGTGCTTGCAATGCTCCCGGTGGCCAAGGTTTTCGCCTTCCACCAGCAGGGCGTTGAACTGTTCGCGGTCGATCTGCTGGTGGTTAGTGCCGAGTGCATTATGTGGGTGGTTCACAGCGGTGAGTGTGCGGTTTCCTTTCTCCGGGGTTTACATACCTCCATTCAGTACCTGGGTTTACGACTGCATTCGCAGATTTCCATTCTATAAATATCATTCATTCATTTTTGTAAACAATTTAACAGAAAAAACAATCTATACAATACCCATTTTTAAAACTTTTACATATTCTAGATACCAGCAAATCTATTATACATATCTGTAAAGAATTGGTATATTTTTTTTATTAAATAAAATTTAATAACTTAAGACATAATGTTTCCGGTTTTGGTTTCTATTTTACAAACCGTTACACAAAGTTCTATGAAAAAATATAAATTATTTTTTGAGTAAAGAATTATTATAATTAATTTAATTATTCAATTGCAGTAATATTTTCGATTTAATAACTTAAGATATAATGTTTCCGGTTTTGGTTTCTAGAGAACAAACCCTTACAAAAAGTTCTAAGAAAAAATATAAATTATTTTTTGAGTAAAGAATTATTACATTTACTTGATTTATTCAATTGCATTAAAATATTAAATTTAATAACTTAAGACATAATGTTTCCGGGTTTGGTTTATATTTAACAAACCCTTTCACAGAAAAAATAAAAATTCCTATTTCAGTAAAGAACGTTTTTTGCAATAAAAAGATAAACCTTAAATATATATTTATGACCCCGTGTTTAATCAGATTTATTCAATTGCATAATATTTTAAATTTAGTAACTTAAGATATAATGTTTCAGGGCTTAGTTTCTACTTAACAAACCCTTACCCAAAATTCCAAGAAAAAATATAAATTATTTTTTAAGTAAAGCTATTTTTTCGCAATAAAAAGATAAATCTAAAATAAATATTTATGACCCCGTTTGTAATCAGCTTTCCCTTTGCCTCGCCACAGGTTTCCTCCTGACAGCCCGTCAATATGGAGAGCTTAGTCACCGGGGATCGCTGCTAATCAATGTCGTTTGGCTCACGGTTGTGGTTCTGGATGCAGTGTGGCTGCGGACGAGTCGCCACTACGACTGGTGGCCCTGGAGCCTGGCCACGCTGCTCTGTGATCTGCTGTTTGCAGCCACCCTGATACCCAAAGGAAGTGCTGTTTACACCAGCTTGTCCAGAGGAGGATCCTCGGGCAGAGAGGATGAGGCTCTGCTATCCCAAAGATATACCTATTTCCATTTCGATCTGAACGAGGGCCATTTGGGTCATGCCCAGGATGAAGCCAACTTGGGATCGCGATTCCTCTTCCATTGGGTTCATCCCCTGATCTCCAAGGGAGTGGCTGGCAAGCTGAGGAAGATTGAGGATCTGTTTGATCTGCCCGACGCCCTAAATATCACGCGATTGAGCGAGAGATTGCACCTAGCTCTGTCGCAATCCCAGAGTTTATGGCGAGCACTGCACAGATGCTTCGGCGTGGAGTTTTACCTCATCGGAATCCTGAGATTGGTGGCCGATTTGAGTGGCTTTGCGGGTCCCTTGCTGCTCGGAGGACTTCTCAGGCAGGATCACGCAGACTCCAATCAGGTGTATTACTATGCATTGGGCCTTTTTGGCAGCACTTTGCTGTCTGCTCTGTGTGCCACGCACTTTGACTGGCGCATGGCCATGGTTTCCATGAAAATGCGAGTGGGAGTTATCAACTCTATATACAGAAAAGCCTTGGAGGCCAGGGGCTTGAAGGACTCCAAACCAGATATGCTAAATCTGATGTCAACGGACACGGATAGGATTGTGAACTCCTGCATCAGCTTCCACTTCTTCTGGAGCATTCCCTTCAAGTTGTTTACTACACTGTACCTGCTTTACCTTCAACTGGGAGCTGCTTTTCTCGCAGGCGTAGCTTTTGCCGCCATGCTGATTCCGATTAACAGATGGTTGGCCAAAAGAATTGGCATATATTCAAGTGGCCTGATGACTGCCAAGGATGCCAGGCTATCGGCCACCACGGAAACCATGCAGGGAGCCAAGCAGATCAAGATCAATGCCTGGGAGGATATATTCATTACCAAGATCCGGGGGTTGCGACAGGAGGAGCTGCGCTTCTTGTCGAAGAGGAAGTACCTGGATGCCATGTGCGTCTACTTCTGGGCCACCACTCCCGTGCTCATGTGCCTGCTCACATTTGGAGTATCTGTACTGATGGGCAATCAGTTGATAGCTTCTACCACCTACACAAGCGTGGCCCTGCTTTATATGCTTATAGGACCACTGAATGCCTTTCCTTGGGTGCTCAATGGTTTGATTGAAGCCTGGGTTTCCATCAAAAGAGTGCAGCAACTAATGGATGTGCCCAATTTGGATTACTCTTCGTATTACAATCCCATAATGAGGGGAAGTGGAGGATCTGGAGCTGCAGAAGACGCACCTTTGGATGCCCCACGCGCCAGTGTGCTGCAGATGAAGTGCGCTAGCTTCTGTCACGATAGCGAGGAGAATACATCTTCGGCTGCATTCCGCTTAAAAGACATAAATGTGGACATCAAGGCGGGTCAGCTTGTGTGCATCGAAGGACCTGTGGGCGGTGGTAAGAGCAGCTTTCTTTCCGCCATAGTGGCCAATCTGCAGTGCACCGATGGCGAGGTGTGCGTCCAGGAACTGACCACTGGATTTGGTTACGTACCCCAGTCACCGTGGCTCCAGAGAGGAACCATCAGGGATAACATCGTTTGGGGCGCTCAATTTGATGAGCAGTGGTATAAAACTGTTTTGCATGCATGTGCTTTGGAGGAGGATCTCCAGATCCTCGGAGGTGATCTCATCGGCGTGGGTGAGAACGGAAGAACGCTTTCCGGCGGGCAGAGGGCGAGAGTGGCACTAGCTAGGGCGGTTTATCAGGATAAGAAAGGTGAGTTATGCGTCTATTACTGTTATTTCTTAATTAATTATTAATTATATTTCACAGTTTACCTCCTGGACGATGTGCTCTCTTCTCTAGACGCCCATGTGACCAGGCATATTATCAAGCACTGCATTCTGCGGCTACTTAAGCACAAAACACGCATTGTGGTCACTCGGAGCATTCAGTTATTCTTCCACGCCAATCAGATTCTCCAAGTTAAGGATGGTCAACTTCTTCCCAGTGAATATATGACTCAAAGCATTGATTTGAGTCTGGATGAGGAGGCGGATGATGAGCCTGAAGAAACAGTGAGGCGACGTTCCGTGGAATTAGCTAACCAGGATGACAAGAAGAGTGTCGATAGTCTGCTTCTCGAGGAATCTAGAGAGTACGGACATCTTTCAGGCGACGTTTTTGCCTGCTACTGGAAGGCAGTGACTTCTCCATTGGTCCTTACTGTTTTGCTTTCTGTATTGCTCATGCAATTGACGAGGAATCTAAGTGATGCCTGGCTAGCTTATTGGGTCACTGAAACTACGTTGGATCCCCATTCGAATGACACTTCATTGGATCATGAATTAATAGCTCCGGCGATGGGAAATGATACCGGATCGGGGCACACGACTAGATTCTATTTGAGCATCTTCACCGCCATCGCTGTGAGCAATTCCTTGGTGACTCTGGCCAGGGCGTTTCTCTTTGCCTACGCTGGAATAAAGGCTGCCATCTTTATGCACGAAAAGCTCTTGAAGAAAGTCATGTTTGTAAGTAGCTAAATGATATAAATATGGAAAGAATATATTGATAACTGTACATTTTCCAGGCCAAATTCAATTTCTTTGACATCACCTCTGTGGGTCGCATTCTGAATCGCTTTTCATCCGACACAAACACTGTGGACGACTCCCTTCCCTTCATCTTGAATATTCTATTGGCTCAACTGGCTGGGTTAATAGGAGCTCTCTGCGTCAGCCTGTATGCGATGCCTTGGCTAGGTCTTGTGATCATTCCCATGGTTCCAATCTATCTAAACTTGCAGCAGCGCTATCGCCACGCCTCCAGAGACATCAAACGGTTGTCAAGCAACGCAATGTCACCGCTGTACACACACTTTACCGAGACTCTTCAGGGATTGACGACGATTAGGAGTATGCGAGCTAGTCCGAGATTTCAAAGGGACTTCCAAGTGAAGCTCGAGGAGAGCATTAAAGCCCAGTTGACGCAATCGGCTGCTCAACAATGGCTTGCTCTTCGACTGCAGTTGCTGGGCACTCTTCTCGTCGGAGGAGCCGGTCTTCTGGCAGCCATTACCGCCTCTCACACAACGAATCCTGGCCTGGTGGGTCTGTGCATCTCCTATGCTCTCTCCATCACTGGTCAATTGGGAGATCTCCTTCATGCTGTGGCTGAAACGGAGCAGGAATTGGTCGCAGTGGAGCGTATAGATCAGTATCTTCAGCTGGAGGAAGAGCAGAATGCCTCCGGAAGTGCAGAGCCTCCTTTCGGTTGGCCTACCCAAGGAGTTCTGAGTTTCCGGGAAGTCCAACTGAGCTATAGAGAGCATTTGGCGCCTGCTTTGCGAGGCGTGAGCTTCCAAACTGAAGCCTTCGAGCGGATTGGCATCGTGGGACGCACGGGAGCTGGTAAAACATCAGTTCTGGCTGCCCTCCTGCGAGTGGCACCTTTGTCCCAAGGAGAGATTCGTTTGGATCAGGTGAATCTGAAAACTCTGGCTTTAAGTGTGCTAAGAGAAAGGATAGGCGTTATCACCCAGGAGCCCTTCCTCTTCGAAGGTCAGTTAATAGTTTATTGACTATCTTTCATTTACTAAATATAACTTTCACCCTTCTTCAGGCACTGTGCGTGAAAATCTGGATCCACGCCATGGTTTCTACGACTCGGAGATCTGGCATGCGATTAAAAACTCAGCAGCCGCCACTCTTCTCGTCCAGCAATTGGGTGGATTGGACGGCAAAGTGGAATCGTGTGGCAACAATCTCTCCGCTGGGCAGCGGCAACTTCTCTGCTTGGCAAGGGCTCTGCTCAAAAACGCCAAGGTGGTGGCCATAGATGAGGGCACATCCAACCTAGACGACGAATCGGATCTGAGCATTCAGCAGGCCTTGAGGAATGCCTTCAAGAGCTGCACTCTGCTCTTCATCGCTCATCGCCTGCGCGGTCTCAATGCCATGGATCGGATAATCGTACTGGACGATGGACGGATTTGTGAGGAGGGTAAACCCCAAGATCTGGCCTCCAATAGCGCAACTATTTTCCATGGAATGCTGCTCGCTCAGGACATAAATCCAGAGGATTTCGTCAGGCCGAATTAGCACTAACTACCAATTGTATATAAGTCAATTGTTATACGATTTTATTTATTATTTTGTTTAATTTGTATTTACTTGTGTTCCTAACTTACGATTCCATTTTGAGTTCCCTAAACAACTAAGAAATCGATAAAAAAAAAAACTAACATTATTTGTTCTAGATTTATTTCATTGTACAAATCTGAATTTGATTGACAAACTATTTTTGTAGTGAATTTTAACCAGTAGTTATTTCCGTACAAAGTGTACAGAATGCGTTAAATTATATATACTATATTATAAAATATATGTTTTGTTTTAATCACATGCTTGACTAGTGGTTGCGAACGAAAAACAGGTGTTAGAATGCGTAGAAACTTAGAAATTAATTTTAACGTTTGATGAATAAGACTTCTCCAAGTTCTATATAAGGCACTGTAGTTCGCGTCATCGAATCCAATTAAATTCTTTTCTATAGTTCTACTTAACTAAATGTTTTGTAACAAGCCTCTTGATAAGGTCAACTTTCAATAAACAACCTATTGGAGATTCTTCGCTTAGATTTCATAGTTGAAAAGCTTTTCGCCAGGACGGCCCATGATGTGATCGTATTGATTGGGCAAATGCGGTGGCTTGGACAGCATTCCGTTCACAGAGCGCTCGTAGAGATCGATGTAGTGCTGCAGGTTCTCGTCCGAGTACATCTAGGATATCAATAAAATGGGAATCAGTAAGGCGAAATGGCTGTTGCGATAAATATTTAGTGACGTGCGCTGGTTATTGTGTTATATATGAGATTAGTGCCCGAATGAGACCAGTGATTAGTACATTAGTCCATTAAATGGCCAACTCATACTGATACCTTGGCTGGGATGCCCTTTTTCCTTGACCTATAAATGCAGCATCGTAGGATTATCGAAAACAAACAGAAGTGTATAGTGTGGCAGATCAGATGGCTGCATAGAACCAAACCAATACCTTCAGGTAGCAGCGCACGGCGAAGATGATACGGCGTAGATCGTGAATGGCTTGATAAATATGATGGTACGAGGCACTCTCGCACTGCAGAATGATGGCTCGAACATCTATGAAATCATCCTGGCATTGTTGGTAGAAATCTGGGTACTGCAATGGTAATGGTAGATAAGAATACGAACAAGAAAAACGCTATAGTCGGCTTGGTGTCCCGACTATTTAATACCCGTCACTCAGCTAAAGGGAGTGCGAGGGAGATGAATATAACATTTTTTGATTGCGCATATCTTGTTAATGAATGGTCCAATTTGAAAAATGTCTTTTACATTTCGATAGGTATAAATATACACAACAAAATTGCATTTATACTTTTCGGAAATCTTTAAAGACACATTTTAAAATCGTTAGTGGGCGATTGTGGGCGTTTTAGGGGGCGGGGCGCTCGGCTGAAATAAACTTGCGCTGCGTAGGAAGCCCAAGAATATGTGTGGGAAATCTCAACCTTCTAGCTTTTGTAGTTTCCGAGATCTCTACGAGTAACGGGTATAATTATGGGGTCTTAACTAAGATTACTCACATAGTTGCGAGTGAACTGCTTTTTGAAGAAGCGCTCCAAGTGCTCCAGCTCCATTACTCCCTCGCTGAACTCGTACAGCTGGCGGGTGACCTCTCGCCCGATCAGGCTAAATGGATTTGTGTAAGCCCTCACATCCCTCAGACGCTCGCGTTCCGGCTCAGGCTGCGGACAGCACAAGGGAACTGGAGCTTTGCGAACCTCCTGGGCTGGCAAAGCCTTTTGGTTGGCCTTCCACTGCCATTGGGAATCCGCGTACGTATCCTTTGGTGTCGGGGGCTCCAATTGTTTTAGTTTGTGATCCTTTTGCAGTGGCTGATAGGTTCCGGTCTTCAGATAAGTGCCATTAGCATCCACATTGCGCTGCGTTTCCTCAGAGTCCTCGATCATGGTGTACAAATAGTTAAGATTCATTGGACATTTTGGCTTGTAAAGAGCAGCTGCCTCTTGGTTCTCTGAAAAGGATTTCCCCGTTCCATTTTGCTTGCGTGGAGTGCTGTAGGCACTTGGTCCTTGTCCATTGGTCAATGCCTGGTGCTTTTGACCAAAGCTGCTGCTATCGTTCAATGAGCTACTATTGTTCATGTTCACGTTAATGAGGGCACAGTCCTTTCCGGCAAAGCTGTTCTTCTGCTTCTGCAGCAGATCATCTAGACTCACAAAGGATTTGATGATCATCTGCACGAGGGATAGGGTCGAAACCTGCCAGGAATCAAAGGTGGCCATGAAACCCGTGGGCAACTCATCCTTAATCTTGTTTAAGCCTTCAGGAGTATTATAAACATAGCCCTTTAGAATAACCCAGGCATTCACAATGCGAGTGAAGACGAAGATGAAATCCTTGACTGCCCAGGCAATTCCCTGCGAGTTGATGTTGGGCAGCACGCCGTCCGGACGCAGGAGATCCTGCTTCAGGCGAGCACACAGGGTGTCGATCTTCTTGAAGCACGGACGATTGCGATGCGCATTGGCCAGATGCTCGGCTATCTCGCTGCCTTGCAGGGAAATCCTGGTCATGTCGTGGAGGCGCTGTTCATGCAACATCACCTCCGAGTTGCGCAGGAGGTTCTGGACACGCAACCCATCGCCGGCTCCGCTTTCCAAGGAACTAATGCTCGATTCATCGGGACCAAAGCTGAAACGGTCGAAATTGTATCATTCATTTATTCCATAACTCTTCTTTTTTAACTTTTTAAAACTGCAAGTTATGCTCAAAGATTTGAAACTCTTATTTGGAGAATAATATTTCTTAATTATTTTATACCTACAAAAATATTTAAAAATACAGTTATTTATTTAATTATGTTAAAATTGTCAAATCAGTTTAAAAATTATATAACCTCTAAAAATGACACGTATTCCGAAAAATCTTCATATTTTACAAAGAATTAAATATTTTTACTCTGTGGCCAAAATTATGGATATTTTTAAAAAGTGAAACATAATATATTATTATTATTATATTAGTAAATTAATTTATACCTAAAAAAAATATTTAAAAATAAAGTAATTTAATTATAAAAATAGTTCACATTTGTGTAAAAAACTATGTTAAAATAATTATCAAATCAGTTTCGAAAAATGCCACGAAAAATCTTCATATTTTACAAAGAATGAAATTTGAAAAGTATGGATATTTTAGAGATCTGAAACATGGGTAATACTGTTTTCAAAAACTATTTTACAAAGAAAGTTCATTAAGGGGAGCTTTGAGGACACATTTTTAAGATTATTTATACGAAGCTCTGTTCTAAGCAAATATTAGAGAGTTTGATCTTACCCATCCTTAACCAGAACTGCTCCAGACTTCTTAAGCTCGGTGCCTGATAATTCGAGGCCGAAATCCACCTGGGTGGCCGCATCGCAGCTGCGCTTGATGGGCGTCTGGGTCTGAGTTTGGGTGGCCCGGTACTGCTTGGGCGGCGGAACGTGAGTGCCACATGGATAGTACTGCGGCATATAGTAGCCAGCCATGTTGCAACTGGCGGTGGCCGAGGCACGAGCTGAATACACCTGACCCTGGCCATAGGCGTTCATGGAGGCTGCAAAATGGGAATGGGAATAAATGACAATCTAGATACTCTGGAACCGTTCTGAACGCACCGGAACTGGCTGCGTAGTACTGCATACCCGGCATGGGCATGTAGGCCATATGATGGGGATTCACAGCCGGTGGAGGCGGTGGCACATGGGCGTTTCCGGTCATAATGGGGCAATTGGCAGTACCCGGTATGAAGACAGTCGACGGACCCGGAGTTCCCATTGACCAGGAGCTCTGCGAGACATGTTCCTGCACGAAGACATCGGTGACCATGCGATTGCGATCCAAGTAGGTTTGCTGGTACATCGACTGCTGGTGCATCGACTGCATGGTCACCGATGGTATTTGGTACAGGGGAATGTTCATGTTTCGGCCAGGAGTTTGGTTTCTTAAAACTGCAAGAAAAACACCTACCGAAAAAGCTCGAAAATATTATCTCCATTTTGAGGTTAGCTATCGAGGACTATTTAAATGTGGATTGGTCAATCCTCGGCAGAAACTTACAAGAACTGAAATGTTGGTAACTCCTGATTACTCAATGGCAAGTGCCGAATTTTTGGCCCAAAAGAAGAACCGTCCGAACCGTCAGAAAGTCAGAAAAGAAAAGGAAATTTCTTTCAAAAATGGCAGCCAGAGTTGCCTAGTTATTCAGAGAGTTGTCGCATGCTTATTAATAGGACCATAATCTAGGGATTGTCAACAAATCAAATATCAGTAAAGAAATTAAAACAGTCGCAACAAATGAAACAAATAGGTTTTACTACTTTTCTTTTGTATTTCCTAGAACAAAACTAATTTATTTCAGATTGAAGAAGGATATTTTAAAGTTACCAGGAAACTGTGATTTTGAATTTTTAATTTAATTAAACAGTCAGACAACAAATGAAACAAATATGTTTTACTCGTTTTTCTTTTGTATTTCCTCAAGCAAAATTAATTAATTTCGTATTGAAGAAGAATATCTTAAATGTGACAGAAACCGTGTTTTTGAATTTGTAATTTAACGGGTGCCATAAATATCGGATATCGATATCGAATACCGATTACATCAGTGTGACCGCAGAACGGACTAGTGTTGTTAGGCACCCGAATATTACTTTTAACACTAGATTTCATGCATTTGGTACAAAATTAATATACATTAATAAAAAATGACGGAAGAGGCTGATTTTAGTGACCAAATAGTTGATGGAAAGAACAAATCAAATGTGCGCTGCCAGTTCTGCAATAGTTTGATGCTCAAGGCTCAGGAGGGCACCTTCAGCGCGGAGGAAGTGAGTGTGCCGGGTGTTATTTCCCATCTGACTGGGCAATTCCTAATTGTTTACCTTTTCCTTCGCTCAGGTGGAAGTGCCCCTGATGATGCAAAAACAGGACAGAACGGCGGACAGTCTAAACAGCGAGCCCTTGAAGGACTTCTGGCTGGTGAAGGACATGATGACGTTCGAGAATATAGGATTCTCCCACACAGTGGACGGCAGGAAGTTCCTGGTTTGCGCGGACTGCGAGCGAGGACCCGTTGGCTATCATGATCTGACCACCCGCCACTGTTTCCTGGCCCTCAAGAGGGTGGTCCACAAGGACTCTTAGAACCCATAGTCGCAATATCTTTCAATCATTTTGATCATAGCACATGCCATGTCCATGACGTGGAATGTAAAGTATAATCCGCTTATCTGTATGTTTCGGTTTATCTCTTCACTGAATTTCAGCGAATTGTAATTAATTCAGCAAGTATTTTACCTTATTCCACTAAAAAATGTTTTTATCTATAGTGGCATCTTGTAATTACCTCAAGTAGCATTTCCTCTGCTGAAAATCGATGAATTTAAAAGCCAAAACATATGATATTTATGACTAGAATTTCTCACAGAAAGACAAAAAGTCTATTTAAAATTTAAGCGAAATAAAACTCTTTTAAAATTCTGATCTAGTAGCCAATAGATTTTGCAATCCTATTTAGATCAATAAATTGGTAATCAATTTCCATTAGAAATTTAACAACAATTAAACAATATTGAAACAAAAATTCTTAAACTTAAACTTAGTTAAAAAAGTCTTTAGAAAATTTATTTATCCTTTAAAAATACACTTTAAAACAAATTTTATCAAAGGTTGAAAAATCAGTTCCAACTTTCTCATACAAACTGCATTTCTGGGCAATAAAAACATTCGTCTTTTGTATTCATATTTATTGTTTTTCACTTTAAACATTTTACAATTTTATTGCATTATAAATATTGCATTTTAGAGGAGATTCTTAACTAAAAAATTTTTACTATAAACTGTTAATTTGCTATACGAACTAAAAATGATGTATTTGTTGCTTTGGTTTTGTGTAAGGATTTTATATAGTTTACTTGGTATCTGCGTCTGCATTTATCGCTACGTTGGACAAAAGGTTTCACTGGTGTTTCCTCTAATGGATCTCCCATAAATTTGGTGTCTCCTTGCTGGGTGGTGCCTATGCGGTAGATGAAACGACTTCAAAGTTTTCCGTTTTTGGCAGTTGGTTACAACAACGAGTGTTTTTCCCCTTGGGAGTGCGGTAGATATGGGCGTGGTCGCCGCCCCTAAGCGTGTCACAACTATCTTTGGGTTATCCAAGGACGACTTTCCTCCCAATTGCTTGCTAATTATTCTATGAAGTGTTCTCCTCGTTGAGCTTTATTTTTTTTTAATACTTTCATTTTTATATTCGCTATTGCATTTAGCTTGCTTGTTAGAATTTTGGTTTAAGTCTTATGTAAATAAAAATAGAGAAACTTAGGCGAAGAGTGTTAACATTTATTATGTACTACTTTTCCATTTCGGTAGCCTTAATTTTTAACATTGTTAGCTTGTGGCCATCTTTGACTTATTCGTTTATTTCGATTTGTTAAATACTTTCAACTGCGGTAGGTTTTAGTTTTATTTATTCGTTTAATTTCCTTGCTTTCGTTTAATACGTTAGTTTCAAAATTCCTGTTAATGTAAATAGATTTGAACGATTATATTGGCCAATTGTTACATGCTCTCTTTGGTTTTTATATACACTTCTAGTTAGGGAATTATGTTATTATTTAATACTTTGTATAAAGCTTTTACGGTTCTCCATTCAAAAAATGTTACAAAATCAGGCTGGACCAGAGCTGAAAATAGAAATATAGATTTATATAATTATTATAATTATATAATTTATTTAGGCTTTATATTTATGATTACCTGGCTCTGGAGCAGCTCTGCGAGTGGACCTTATTGATGATGATTGGGGGAGAAACGGTGAAAGTGTCACAGAAGTCAAAGAGTCAGCAGCATTACGAAAAGAAAACTGGGTGGATGCATCGATAAAACAAACAAAAACAACTGAGGGGCTCCCTCGATTTCGTCCTTAACGCTGTAAAAACTGACGGGCGCTCAGCAGGAGTCCCACCATGGCTGCGGCTGCCACGCCCACCGCCGAGGCGCCCATCGCCCCGGTTCCGTTGCAGGTGTCCGTATCACAGGAGCAGACCACCTGGCGACCTCCGAACCCGGCACGCTGATAGCAGTAGTTGGTGGAGGTCTGGTTCTGGTAGGCACAGGTCCTTATCACTCGGCTATCCGGGGGCACTGCAGTGGGATAAGTCGGGGTATAATTCGATCTCTTTTATTTATTTACTCTTTCTACTCACGGCTGTTCACGGAGAACTCGATGATCTGCGTGATCTTGCGGCAGTACGTGGGAATCCCCTTGCCGCGGGATGAGTACTGCTCATCGCAGTCCTTCACCAAGTTGTCGGGCGGAATGTCCAACGCGCAGTTGGCATCTTTGTGGCTGTTACAAACAAAGCACTTGATGGCATATCCTACGGAAAATAGTTTAATAAAAAATAATTATAATATTTTATTGTATTTAAAATAGCATTAAGGAATATTTTAATTCAAAGAAAAATAATAGTTTAATGTTGATCGTTAATGATAACTTCTTCATTAAGCAATACACAATTTAAATCGCATTCTTTAGATCATATGGAAATAATTTAAAATATAGCTTCTTTTATTTTAATTTCCATTGCTATAATATTTCTAAAGTGTTCAATTCAGGGACCGAATATAACAAATATTTTGTAATTTTTATTAAAAAAAAATCATACGACAGGATAACGCTAAAAATTTGAAAAAAAAATCATAAAACCAAAATTGGTCTATTCATATTTCCAATGAACATGATTTAAGTTTAATTTGACTCAAATTATGTTATTATGGTAATTATTGGTAAACTTGTTATAATAATATATCTTTAAAGTCTCGTAAATTCTTAAATTCTTGTTAAATTGGAAATCACCACAGAAACCCACTACTTAATTAAATCACTTATTTTACTCCTTGCATCCACAAAGGTATTTCCGTAATTGCATTTGCGCATCCTAAGTGCATATTCCTTTCCACTAGATTCCTTTTAACAGCCACTCATTTTTTCCCCGCCTATGCAATCTTCCACTTAATTGACCGCAAAGCTATTGTTAGTGCCAATTAGAAATTTTCCATTTGCAGCTGGCATATGCTTAACCTTAATAGTTTCACAAAACAAGTGAAAGAATCAGGCGTGTAAACAAATACTTGAGCCATACCACCTAGATATAAGTATAAAGAGATCTCCGAGGCTTATGATTGATGTCGTTGCCTTAGCTAAATTGAATTTAAGGTCGTGCGCGACACGAGATTCGCATTATTTAATTTTCCGAATATACGAACTGAAAATGTGCCGCCTGTCCGTCCGCTAGAATGTCACCTGCCCCGCCACAACAATGGTGCAACTTGCGATGCGCTTTTGTCCCACGCGGTGCCAAAAATGGCACAATGGCATGGAAATGCCAGTGAATCCAGCGGATCCATCGACGCCTCCATTAGCGGCAGACTGCGAGGCTCTTAGGAGTGCCCAGCTAATTGAGACATCGACGTTGCTAATGGACTCGAATAACTTTGCCTCACTTCTCTTGGGTGTGAATGCTAATACTCCCACTGTCCATTCTCAGTATATTTGGGTTACATAAGCAGGGCGGAAAAATGTCCTGCCTGCTTTTTGGGCGAAGATACTTGAGAACAATAGAAAAGGACTTCGGTAAGATGAAGCACTCTACGGGGTGGACTAGATACTCTAAGAGCTGGATACGTCAACATCATGACAAAAGAATGTCATATACTAAAAGGAAGTACCAAAGATGAGTAATAAGTTATTGAAACAAGCAGATTTTCATTTAGAGTTAAGAGCAAATGGATAAGTAGACCATTGAGTCAAACTTAATTAATAATTTAATTTAATAATAATTTATGTAGTATATGTAGGTTATATATCACCCACCACTCGGCTGAAAAATTAAAGAAATTTTGGTATTCAAAAAATATGCAACAAAAAATTTGTTCTGATATCACCCCCCGCAACAAAATCCTAGATCCGCCACTGCCTAAGACCTGTTATATTATTTATCTGCTATAATAAATAACAACAAATGAAAACGAAAATGGAACCCTTTAAACGTTTAAGATTATATTTATGGATTAACATTACTTATTTGTATTGTATTTAACGAAAAATTAGAAAAATATACCAATCATATTATTAAAATAATTTTGAGACTAAAAAAAAAACAAAATATAAAAAAAGTGATTTTAATAAAATAAACATTACATTCCTATCATAAAAAAAAAACAAAATTAAACAAAATTCATATCTTCCACAAAATATTCCCGAAATTTGTGTCGTAAAATTCCCAACTATTCCCACTGTTTACAGTCATCTCCAATTAAGGTTTGTTACGGTCTATAAATAGCCATAAATTGCATTGATTGAATTGCCTAGAACGCGAAAAATATGGTGCATATACAATATATTAAGAAATTCCGCAATACGAAATTTAATTTTGATCTATTGAGTTATTTACGAAACAGAGATATTTCCTTATTTCGCTTTATTAAAACATGTAGCATATTTATATAAGTCACTGAGCGGATTTCGGTTTTGGGTGATGGGGACTGCAACTTGCCCCCAGGACCTTTAACCAAATAGAGTGCGCATGTCCTACATTATCCTTGCACATACACACATTTGTGGGAAAAGTTATAAAGAGATTTTCGAAGGAAAAGAAGGAAGGAAAAACTTGAAGCTAACACAAGTTCCTCGGGATTATTCTTTGCGAAGGGATAATATAGTGTGGGCTAATTATTATCTGTTTTAGTCAGGATGTCAACTGGCAACGACCCTATGGATAACCCCACCTCCTCCGTTTTTTCCACGCAGCCCAGGAAAAAGCTGTGGCAGAGAGCCAACAAATGAAGTAGAGAAAAAAGTTCCTTTTCACAGAGAGCTCAAGGAACCCAACTTATATCTATTGAATGCAAATATTACTCAGTGGGTCGGACAAAAAGGCGCCACGGCGGCCGGCTTGGAGACCCTATAGATACGATACTCTGGCTTTTTCGCTTTTCGGCGTCAGGACGGCGCCACAAGCTCTCCCATTTCTCAGCGCGACCCAGGAACCTGCCCCTTCCATATCGTACATCTCCTATTATGTAATCGTAATCGCGATGTCGGACGTCCGTTCAGCGATTCAACCTTAAATCCTTTTTACCTTGCTGCACGGCGATGGCCAAAATCAGCGCACTAATCACATAGATGTACTGCATTTTTATTTTGTAGACTTGAAACACTCTTTCGTTTGGGTCACTAAATACTTTTATATTCTATTCGATTGGTCGCGGATCTTAACGTGCGACTTTCACAGGCGACTAGATTCACAGATTTTCCGTTTTATGGGGCTGCTGGTGGCTCTAATATGATATTCCTTGCAAAAAACTAGCGCTCACGGCAAAACGCTGGCAAACGGTTGACAAACGGCAAACGACTGGGCAAAGCAGCAGCCGCACTCGACAAATGTACCACACGAACACGAATTGCGGACGGGCAGGCCAGTCCACGGGGCGGATGAGCAGTCGGATCGGATCGGGTGGCGATAAAGGGGGGCGGTGGGCGGTGGTCGGTGGGTGGTGGCCCCAATCCCAGCCTCAGATTTCCAGCTTGCAGCCAGGGAGCTTTGGCCGGGAAGCTTTCGAGTGTGCGTCCTCTTTTTCCTCTTTTTGCAGTCAGGAGACACGAAAGAGTAGCTGCTAAAAAGTGTCTCAATCGACACTGGTCTACAGGGGTGGGGTCTTGAGAAAGCGTCTTATAGATTAAATTATTTCATAAGCTAATCTAAAAATTTTATGTTTTTTGTTTGTTTATTTCAGGCAAATCTTTTCTTATCTTCACATTTAAAACTTAGTACAGATAAAGCATCACTTATTTCCTAAATTCACATGCTTTATCAAAAAAACATTTAATTATTTAATAGGTTTTTTATCAGTAAACTTATCTCCTAAATTAATAATTACTTTATAGTTATTATTATTAACAGATTAGGTTTAAACTTAAGTACCCATTTGTAATGTGAAGAAATAATTAGTTCAAGATTATCAAGGGTTAGGGTTATAAGGGCCAATTTAGTAATGAAACCTCTAATCTAAGCTAAGAAAATACATTTACAAACTAATCTTTCCAAAACTTACTCAACGAGCAGATAACAAATCGTTTGGTGTAATTTTAACTATGAGTTTTAAAACCTATTTATTGAATTTGAAAAAAATTAATAAAACATTCTACTTCCATATATATTTCCCACTTGTTCTGTGCCCCATTTGTCTGTTTACTCTTTTATTTATGTATATTTAAGTACTCGCAATTAGAACCTGCAATTAGGAAGGCAGTGCACTGGACTATCCACTCATAACCCTGAGCGCCACTTCAACTAGGCGTCCAGACACTCAATCCGGAGATCAAGACGCACACGTGAACGGGCAGAAAATGTGGCATAACCCAAGCATAAATCTGCCCGGTGCATTAATTAAGCTTAATCGCAGGCTTCCTCTTGGAGCTCCGAGTTAGCTTAGCACAAAGTCGCACAAATTGCTGCCCCAAGACGCTGGTCAATTGAATTAAATCTCTCTTTCACTCGCCATATAAATATTTTTGCAGATCGTTTTGGCTGGCTTTTGTGCCCCAATCAGTGCGCGAAATTGAAGAAGCCATGGGGGAAGATTGCCCTTTGGGGAGACTGTCTTTACTCTGTCTCCGAGTCTCGTTTGTACTTACACAGAAAATAATCATAATTAATGCTAATGGTATGAAAAATCCTCGAATAAAACTAATAAATTTGAATTGATCAAATTTGAAATTTTATAGAAATAATAGTGGCTAAAATAATATTTAATATTTAAGACAGCAAAATCATATATCACATCATATTCTTTCAGTGCAGTGTCCCTCAGTTGATTGCATTAAATTATGTTTGTGACTATAAATAGCAATAAAAAGAAAAGAGTTTCGTCTTTGGATTGGGGTTAAAGTACCGGTAATCAAAATGTTGACTAACATATTAGGCAAATAATTTTTTAAATTTAAATACCATTGAGACTGAAAGCTGAAGCTCCTTAAGCTAAGGTTTAAACCTAAGCTAAGGTTTCTAATAAGTTGTAGAACAGACTAAAAGCTCTCACTAAGGTTAACATGGGATATTTTATTTGGTTGGGAAATTCCCCTTGTTTTGATTAGAGCATTAACCCCAAAAAATGCGCTTCTTTTATTTACTTTTCAATCGATCTGAGTAAACTTTAAATTCGTATTTTTATGCGCAATTAATCTTCAAGTCTGGCAGTTGGAGCAGGGGAGTTACACTTCCAGAGAAAACTTGTTAGAACAAAACAAACAAAAAAATCCGCAAACCGGTTCCGGCAAACAAGAATCTGTTCACTGAATTTGTTTTTTGTATAATCGAATCCAAGTCTGACCTCCCAATAACGCTCGCTGATCAGCTGATTTCTGACTTCGATACGATCCCAATGCCATTTGCCTAAAGACAAAGACAACATTTTCACAGACCTCAGTTACACGTTCGATTTGCTGCAGATTGGTTCTACAGTCGATAGGTTTCGGTATTTTCATATTTCAACTCAAATAAGCTTTTGGAAATAAAATAGCGTAAGTTCTGCAAAATTAAAAAAGAATCTTTTCAAAAATTAATTATTTAAAAATTTTTTTTTTTAACTAAAAATGAATTTGAATTTTGTTTGAGTGGACAGTAAAAATTTTGCGGCGTTTTAGGTGCGAAAAAAGAAGAAAAATGAAAATAAAACGTTTTCAAAATCCAAAGTAAAAAAGAAAATCCAAGAAATTTTTATATATGTTTTACTTCTTGAAATATGTCACTCCTGCTTTTGTACCTAAAACTTTTTCTAGTGTTCTCCTTGTAGCAGTTTATGCATTTTAAAACCACTTTTCTTAATTAAAGAAAAAATCTTGGATATTCCTCCTTAAAATACAAAAACATTTAATGGTCAGAATGATAAACAAATAATTGGTATTAATTTTCCAAATTGATTTTTCCACACAAACAAAAAATCAAGTTACTTTTTTGAATTCTTATTTATATTCTTGCACTTAAGATTTTTTCAAACATTTTCTACAATTTTATGGTCATGCTTGAGTTAAAGAGCTAATTTAGCCCAAGAACCGCTTCAAACTGGCTGAAACCAAAAACTGAAAGGTCTACCGCTGAAATAATTCGGTTTGTTTTCGCTTTCCACACAAAGAAGCGTGGAAATTTCAAATTAGTTGCATTGCTTGCAGAATCGGACACCGAATTAATGCAGCAAAATAAGGGAGCGGACTTTGAGAAACATTTAGCACGCGTAACGATGACTCAAGAAATCAACGTTGCCGCCAAAACTGCCTTGAACTAGGACAGATAATCTCCGTCCTCCCTATCAACACCGCTGTTTTCCTCAATTAAGTTGAGTCTGGAAGTCTGACTTCGTCACCGATGCGGACTAGACCAAACCACCACAGCTGAGTTTTTGGAGGTGCGAACCAGTTTTAACTAATCGGTACCGTTGATAAGGGACTAGAATTATGCATGTCTATATAGAGTTCGAACAGTCCACGTTCTGGCCGTCAGAACGTGCTCCTATCGCTAAACCCAGCTCCCCGGAACCAAAACGATAGAAAAACACATTAGAGGCAATGACATCTCGGCCCGAACCCAAGATTTGATTTAGGACTTCCGATCGTAAACCAAATATGAGGTATATAAACAGTTTATTATTATGTTGTATGTCAGTAGTAATTTGTACTACACTTTTTATAATCCTTGATTGAGATTATTTTAATAGATCATAACAAGGTGATATTTTTGAAGAAAAGTTAATGCTTATATTTATGAATTTTTAATACGTTTTTAATATACAAAAAAAAATAGTTTAATTAGGGAACATCTACAAAATTTAATAATTTATTTAATAATAATATTTCGCAATTTTTAAAAGTTTTTGATATTGGCTTGAGTCTTTTCTCTATGTGGAAGACCCATATGACAGAACCCTAAGCAAGGGACTTCTTTACATGTTAAATGGAATAAATACGTGTTATTCAAACGGAAGGCCAATGTCACCTAATGAGATATAATTTAGTCATAGCTTGTTTACTTTTTTTTCTTTCTACCAGTGACGTCACGGCGGACTTAACCGGTTCAAGCCGGTGGATTCCATTTGGATTGTGTTTTGTTTTTGGGTTGAGAACCAAGCTGAAACCAACCGAAGCCAGAGCTTATCAATGCAGCAAGTGAACTACCTTGTGTAGCATCCCCTATATATGTATAAGTATTAGCACATATACTCACATAATACGACCCCGTAAAGACGATCGAGTGACGGAAGTTTTTACATTTTTCCCATTTGCTGACTTTAGGGCCGATCTTGTTGTTGAAGTCGCTCTTTTTCCGCGCTCTCGAAGCAGCTCTCTTCGGCTCTCATTTCGGGCTGAGTTGACTTTTTGAAAAATCAACGTTTTTCGAAAAGTCAAATACGAGTTTTCAGATTCATCTCGACGGTGCTCGCGTCAAGTTGTCCGCTCGCATTAAACAATAATAATTGTGTGAGTTTGTGAGAATAATAGTGTGTTGTAACCATTTGTGACCATAAAGAGTTGTCAATTAAACTTCTCGAAGGTTATTAAAGGCGAATTAAAATATAGAAATAAAAAAAAAATAAATTAAAATTGATTATTGAGAAAAAGTTAAATATACTTGAACAGATGTTTAAGTGCTTTTGGATAAACACAATTCAAAACAGTGTTTAAAATTCTAAGAATACTAGATAATTGTATTCTGTTCATTCAGTTTTAGTGGCTTATCGTTGGAATTACATTCACTCCTTTATTAATTAATATAAATAAATCTAATACAAATTTACAAAACATATAGAATTTTATTAGCCTTGTGAAATATTGAAATCTTAAATAAAAAGTTGCATTCGTACAATATTAGCACTTGTCACGTTTATAAGCCACGTTCTAATACCGGTTTACTAGTGTAAATAACATCAGTATATGTACAAGGAATTATAGATTATAAATATTACTACAGCAATGCTAATGAACAGACCGCTGCTTTTAGCGCTAATCAAATTACAAACAAACCCCAGTACAAAAACCGAAAACAAATCAGATAAATTAAAAAGGAAATTCTATTACTTTTTACAGCATCAGCGTTGGATAAGTCAGCTATCGGTGATCTGTAACCCGAACGAAAAACCACAAAATGTCACCAACTATGTTCATCTATGCCGTGTGCCTGGGATTGGTCGCCAATTTCTTAACAGGTGAATTTCCATAGTATATTTAAGCAATTTCTACTATTTATTCCAGTACATAATTAGTTTACGAAGAACAGCTGCCTTTTGTTTTGTTAATCAATTGAAAACCACTTTCATTTAGCTCAGTACGAAATACCAATTGATTGGCCAACACTTTAGAGCTGTTTAAATTTAGTTTTCGCCAATTGTTTTATTTCCCCATCTCTTTTAAACCGACTAACCTCAACTCAACAAGCTATAAAATCACTGAGGTGGAAACTCATGCCAAACTCTTTTGTGAATCACCTAGACATTTCATGAAAATTGATGCTCTCAAAGCAAGCACCAAAATTTAATTGAATTTACCCGGATTGCTGCTTGAAAAATGAAAGGAAGTCGAAGTGCGGTGGAAGCTTTTAAAGATGATCTTGGTAATTGATCATTGAAATGGATAGTGTTAGGTGCTAGTAAATGTGAATATTTAATGTTTTAAATTTTTTTAGAGGAATTATTTTTTTTAGAATTGTTTGAATAGTTTTTAAGACATTTATTTTATTTCATTCTTATGCTTTCAATAAGTTTACGATGCTCAGAGTGCTTGTAGCTATTATCTTATCTTTCTACGTCTCACTTCAACGCCCACCAGTAAGGTTAATTATTAATTGTTTAAAAAATCCGAGAGTTTATTCTAATTAGCCACTGGAAGCTCACACGCACACACAATCCTTTGTAGGCCGCCGCCACGAATAAATTGATTGTCCAAGCAATTTTGCAGCTCGCACTTGGATGTTAAGGGAACATTAAACCGCGTTAAATAATATTGAAAGTATTTGCACGCGAACATATGTGGATATATATAATAATCGGTTTTGCAAATATGCACGTTTATGGACATTCCAGTGGCAAGTGAATAATACTTCTCCCTTTTCTCTGGCAAACTTAAGAGCGCGTTTCATTAGCGAACAATTGTCAGGCGAAAAGTTACCACAATGGCAACAGTTGAGAGATATTGCGCTCGACTGCCTCGATTTCCTCCCGCTTTTCCGCCTTTCCGCTTTCCATCCAAGTTCACTGAAAAGCCGCATGAATATGCAGCAAATGTAAAATGCAAATGCGAAATGCTAGAAATGCAAATTCCAATTCCGAACTGCCACTGTGGATTTTTATGGCAGGTGACTTTTTGTTACTCAATGTTTGTTCGCCCTGCCCTGGAATGGCTTAATTGCCAAACGGTCTACGTGAGTAGCCACCAAAGTGTTATAATATTATGCATACGCCCCGTTACGTTAGACGTTTGTAATCCTGACAACCTCAGACATATTCGTAATTTACAAGAATGAGTTTCAAGCTACTGTTCCTCCAGTCGTCATGTCCTTGCCCTTTGGTAATGCAATATTTTTTTACCAGGTTCAATGGGGAAATTCTCTTTTGAGTGACGTCTTCAACTCTTCCAATTCCCTGCCGTTTCCTCGGGCTATAGTTTCTGTCAAATGGTAACCAAATTGGGTAGAGACTGTCAAATGGGCTTAAGGAAAAACAGATATGGTAATAGAAAAGAAAATGGACAGGATAATTGCTTAAAGCTATAAATGGTTTGAAAATTGTCTGCAATAAGTTTAAAAAGGGCCTATAACTTTACATCAAAATATTAACGTAGTTTTTTATCTTAATTTTAAATTTGACAAATTTACAAGGTTTTAAGAATTTATGTGTGATTTATGTCGGTAATTGAAGTAGATAGCAAGGAAAATATAATTAAAATTATTTAAGAAATAAATAATTTTTATTAATTTGCAATTACCCTATAGTTTAGTTAGGGTTACGGAACTTCGCATTAATTTTACTCCGAGTGACTTCAAGTTTTTGCCGACTCCTCGAGGGTTTGCGTGCCAATGTCTGGATGTTTCGGCATTTATTTTTTTGGCCCCAAGCAGTTGACATGCAATTATTCAGGTTACTGCAGTCGAATAGAAGTCAGTTTGTCAGTCAGAGGCCTTACCTGCCGACAGAAACGGGGGGTGGCAGTGGGAGGCTAATAAAACAATTTACTGTCAGTGTGACGGAGACTTTGAAAAGGGCGATTCGCGAGGCATTTGAATGCCATTTGAGGTTGCACGTATCCAATTACCGTCGAGAAGAAAAAAAGGAGTTGTGGTTGTATAATTAAAGCAAATATTTTAAATAATATCAACGGGTAGGGATTAATTGCAAAGTAAAGATAAACCTATTGAAAGATTATAAAAATAGCCACTTAATGTCTAAATTCATATTATAATTTTTGGAGTTAAACCAAGAAGCTATTTATATTCCAGGAATTTATTTTAAACTTAAAAGTTAGCTAGCAACTTTCCAAATATAAAAAAAAACAAGAAAGGAAGCTACCTTCGGCCAGCCGAAGCTTATATACCCTTGCAGATAAAGTAATGCTCACTCGGTGCAATTCCAGGGATTCCAGATTCAGCGTTTCTATTTCAATTTTGTTTTTAAGTAGTCAAGAATCAAAACGCCTACTTCCTACAAAGTTACAATGAATTTTCTTATATTTGTTTGAATATTCCTATAGAAGCCTTAAGATATAGTGGTCCGATCCGGCTCGCTCCGACATACGTACTACCTGCAATAGAAAGAAGACTTTCGGGAAAGTTTCATCGCGATAGCTTTAAAACTGAGAGACTAGTTCGCATAGACTGACATGGCTAGATAGACTCGGCTGTTGGTGCTGATCAAGAATATATATACTTTATGTGGTCGGAAACGTCTCCTTCACTGCGTTGCAAACATCTGACTGAAATTATAATACCCTCTACAAGGGTATAAATATCCTAAAAATGTCAAGCATTTAAGAAATAATTAGAGAAAATATTATGAGGTGATACAGGGGTTATTACCTAATATCTACTTAACATAATTAAAGAGTAATTATTTAATGTACCTTGCCCTTTTCGTTTGCCCTTGCAGTGAGTGCCATTCGGTGTCATCAGTGTAACTCGCACGACAACGAGGACTGCGGTGGCCTGGTCGTGAACACTCCCCGCGCCCAAAGGGACAACCAATACCTGACGGACTGCACGCCACCCAGTGGCAAGGAAGCCTTCTGCCGAAAGACGGTGATTAAGTTCGAGGTTGACGATTCGCACAGGATCGAGAGGAGCTGCGGTTATATTCCGGAGAAGATACAGAATGCCTGCTTCACGGCCGACAACGAGGGCTACAAGCAGATCATCTGCACCTGCCCCGAGGAGGGATGCAATGGCGCCACCTCACTGCTGGGAGCCCGACAGGTGGGCTACAGTCTGGTGGGATCTGTGGTCAGTCTGGTGGCGGCCGCCGTCTTCAGTCGTTAAATTAACACCTAAACTTCCGCATCCTGCATCCTGTATCCTGCATCCAAAAAGTACCTTATCTTAACTGGTTAAACTAAGTCTTAAATATTTTGCACTAAGTTCTTTGATGTTTGCCATATCTAGCTACGTACACAATCCCCCGTCTGTCTTGGCAACTCTTGCGCGTTAAGTCTCGTATTTTGTATTCGTAATTGTAGTTTCTATGAAAATATAAGCATAATATTTAACTGATATGGCTGGACTTTTAATGGCAATGCAAACAGTTGAAAATCCTGGGGCATAAACCCATCGTTTATGCTTGGCATTTAAATTACTTTGGTAAGCAGGGGAAGAGGCCTCCGAAATTTATGAACTAATGTGAAGAATGTGTCGGCAATTATATAAAATCGAAATTTTCATATGTGAAAGCGGAGGACGAACGCCTAAGTTGACCAAGGACTCGCCCACAAATTCCGTCCTGTCTGTCGCTTTGAAACTTGCTGCCAAAATGTCTGCAGAAATTGTTTTGTGGCCCAGAGTCAAAGTCACTGTCTACGCAGGCCAAAAATAATAGGGCAACTTTGTTAGTTTTATTGTTGAGGATGAGTATGAAAGCCCTGACGACATGTTGGCCCATTAAGTCAAGAACAGAACCGCACACTGAGAAAAATCCATAAAAAAAGAGCTTCTTGAAAGTTTATTAACTTAAATATTTCAAAATTAAATTACATTTTCGAATTATGTAGAAAAACTTTTAATATGAATGAATACTTTTTCTCTTTTCTTTCCTTTAATTATAAATTATTTTCGTAAAATCTTAAAATCATGTTTGATTTTTAAATTTATTTTAATTTTAGAAGCAAACTGTGTTTATTTTTGAGTGTAGCCATTCTTATTGCTTATAACAATCTTTAAAAATGTTTTTTATTAAAACATATTTTAGAAAATTTTGGTTCGTTTTTTATTTTTGTTAATTTTAAGAACCATTTTTGTTTTTTCAGGGTGTAGCCCATTTTTTGGATATGAGCAGCGACTTTAATGCGCAGAATGTTGTTGTTTGTCTTCGGCACACACACAAAAGCGGAAACACGCTCACACAGATACGCAGCTAGCAGCTCAGATCCAGATACAAATACAAATACAAAGACGTCCTCTGGGTCGACCTACATGCGTTAGCATTTGTGTTCTGTCGTCGCCAGCTGAACTGCTCAAATGGCTCTGCAGCTTTTGTCTATGGGTGCGTTCTGCCGACCGAATGGCGCCTGGTTGCCACAGCAACAGCATCCGCCCATCCGCCCACTGGTCCTGCCACGCCCCCTTCCTCAGGCTCATTGGCAGCCTTGTCTATGTCTGCTCAGTCGTTGGCTTCCTTTTATTTTCGTGGACAGCCTGGCGCCAACATAAAAAACATTGATTTCGGATTCACTGAGCGCCCCCGCAAAAAAAAAACCGTCCAAATCATTTATTACTGGCATTTCTTTGGTTCCGGGATTTCTTTAATTATTTGATTTGTAGACAGTTTTGGCAAGCGATTTTTAAGCGTTGAAACCTAATACGTTTGACCTTGGCTTATTTTTATTTTTTAAATTTCAAATAAATTATTTTCTTATCAAAACTATTTGTTTAAATTTATTGACATAACTTAAAATATTGATAAGATTAAATGAGGTATTTCAGTAAATCAAACGTTACTTAATTTTATGGATTTTGTGGTGTTGGCCTAAAATATCAATATTAAATCAACATATGTTTGTATCATATATTTTCAACATTTAATATTGCATATTTGTTCTAATTAAATGTAACCCAAATTTTCAATCACAATGTCTTCGATAATTAAATTGCTTTAAGTTTTCCCTGGTGATTATTTTTGGCAAAAGTTCGCCCACTTGAAAGGCACTCGGAATATGCATCGTAAAAGTATGCTCACATAAATGTCATTACGCGCCAAATTGCGCATACGCGGGGTTGGGGGACCAGTAGAAAAAAACAAAACCGCACCAGGGGATAAAGTTGTCATTGTTCGCGTTGCCCTGGCATTTTGTTTTTCTTTCCAAGCCGTCGCAGAAATATTTGTGCAATGTTATAACCATAATTTTATGGTTGGTATTTCTATCAACATAGCAATCGTGCTTGAAATGTGGTTTGTAATTAACGGAGTTTGCTGTAAATGGTATTTAAATTTAACTAAAATTACAACATTTAAATTGTACAATTTCTGGCTATTAAAAAAATGCTGTTTATATTTCGAAATTGTGTTATCTTATTTAAAGAAGATTTTCTTCTCCTTATTTTTTTCTCTCTTAAAAATTAGACTTAAGCCGATTATTCTAGTTATCTTTTGCTGCTTGCCCTTGTTAAATCTGAAGAAAGTTTTCCTTGCTCACAAGCCAACATTTGTCTTTGGTATTCGTTGGCATTTTAGAGAGACTCGCAGATTTCGCATGTTAATCAGCTGCATGATTTATACTTGGCTTTGTTCTTGCCAAAGGCACATAAATATTTTTATTGTTCCAAGCGCACATTGAGTCACGTTCCTGGGGCCATCGGGGCGTATACGCAATGCGGAGTAAATATTTTTGCTTGCCACCTAGAAGTATGCCATGATATTTTGTATTTGTCACGCCCTCTCAGAAGCTGATTGCCGTTGATGGTGATGATGCTGCCTTCTTCTCCTCTTATTCTCTAAATTCCTGTGGCACGTGCATCACCAGAGACACCCACAAATTGCTGCCATAGCTCTTCGAGTTCCTCTGCACTACCTTTTGGATCATCTTGCCAGCTCAGTCGGCTCATTGACCTGTGAATAGTTGGAAATCTCTGGCCCTTTTCCTCGTAGATTTTTCTTCTTTGGCCTTCGGCCCACCTGAAGCTGCTCGAACGGCAATTGCAGTCAAGTGCAAGTGATTGCTGGAAAAAATTACGTACTTTGGCATTGTTTGCCTGCCAAATTGATTTTATGTGCTTAGCATTCTGGAGATGATCGGGCTGGCAATTGTAAAGGTGGGTTCTTACTGGAATAAGGTTTAAATCAATGAGAACTGGTTTTTTTTGATGGCTTTAAAAGTATTTAAATTGTTAAACTAATGAACTTAACTGATGCTTTCATTTTAGTTTAAATTAAATGGTTTAATTATTTGTTTAACCAATTTTTTAATGTATAGACTAATAAATGAAGCTGATATTTAAATTGTAATCTTATATTGTTTAATTTTTATTATTTAAACCAGAAATTAAATCGAAGAGCTTAATAGCATTAAAAGTATTTCTATTATGATATATTATTTTTAGTATTTTTAGTGTATGAAATAATGAATAAATTAAATGGATTTGAACTCAAATAAATTAAAAATACAAAGCTCTTGGCTTGTATCTGCAAATCATTCATGGTAATCGAATGATATCATTTTTGATTTAATGTATTTTTGTTATACAGCCACAGTGAGATAGTTTAACAAGTCAATTTAAATTTATTTAAGTTTCAGTTGGAGCCAGTTAAATCCCCAGTCAGCCATTATATGTAACCATAAAATACCTTCGCTGGCAGAGCACATATACTGTATACCATATATTGTATTGTGTAGTGCAGAATAATCCCCTCGAACTGTGTGCGGGATCCTTTTACAATTGTGGAAGCAATTTCTCTGCTCCGACTCCCCAGCAATTTGAGTCTCCGTCATTTGCAAGCGCATTTGTTGCGATTGATTTGCCCAGAAGCTGCAGATAGAGCCAACGATAAAGTTTTATGTTTATTGCTGGCATCGGAGAAGTCTGGAATTGGCTTTCCTGCGTTCCGCGTCCTCGTCCTCGTCCTTCGAAGCTGCCAGTGGCAAGTTAATTGGCTACGGAAACCCGAGGCAAACTGTGCGCCCGGTGCGTATACGTAATAAAACTCAATTAAAATGGAGTCAACACAGAAGTCTGACGTTTACCGAGTCGGTTTCTTTTGCCACTGCGGTTTTAGGATAGGGTTGTCTGACACACTTTCGCCCAGCAACCGTAAATATTTCATTGCTGCAGCTGAGGAAGAAAAAACTTTTTCAATTAGCATGCCAAGCGAAAATTTCAACTAATTAAAGGCCATTTTGTGGGCGGAAATCCACAACAGTAGAACAACTTTTGACCCACAAAATGTTGTTGCATTTTTTGTTCTCCATTTTTTTTTTGGCCAAACCAAATTTATGGCCCTGGTAAAACAGAGTGGAAAAAACCAAAAACACGGTTTACGATTTGCACGGTTCGATGCAGAGATAATGGGGTTGTAAACCAGAGTCGAGTACCGACGAAAATGTGTCAAGTTGTAAAAATCGAAGGCATAACTTATGGCTGACCTTCTGGGGAATGCCAACCGGAAACGGAAAGGTGCGTAAAAACTTGTAATTATATCCGGTGGCTGTTAGCGAATGAAGTGGCGGCATGCGATCCGCAGAAACCCAATGGTCATGGACACCCCGGGAATTATGACATCAACACGACGACGTCATCATCATCGCCATTGTCCAGACAGCCCACAGAATGTGTCCTTGTCACGCGGCAGCCATATTTGGTACACCCAAAAAAATTTGATATAAGAAGATGATTCATTTGATTTTATGTGGTATCAGTTTTGACTTGATATGCGGGCACCTCAATTCGAAAAGCTCGAAATTTGAATTTCGAATTTCTTATAACTCGCTCTATTTCAAATGAAGAGAGATGGTACTTCTCGCTCCCGCTCACGTCATTTAATTCGCCACATTTAGTCTTCCTTTTTATTTGATGTCAGAGAATCTCCTAGAGCAGCGGTCGTCACACACATACGTTGACATTTTGTTTTATATTTGTGTGAGTAATTTGCACTGGGCAGCTCATCGATGTGTGTGTGCAGACCGCTGTTCTACGTTATACGTGTGCGAGCAGCGCGCCGGCAGAACAAAACCCTATGCTCACTTAATAGGGCGCTGCCGACCGCTGTCCTAGAGAGAATTTAGGTAAAAACGATATGCGTATACCATAAATTTACCAAGCGCATATCGATTTGACCGCTACGTGTTTTTTTTTTGTGTGTAGTGAAATTGGCCAGGCTCTGATTTCATTTTTCTCATTTTCCCCTCGGGCAACAGGCTGCAGTTTTATGGCCGAAAGCCAGGAAAACCCAGGGAAATGGTCGGCTCTAAAGGGTAATTGAAATTGGCGCTGATTCGCCATTCCGCTGGAAGTCGTTGGGTGTGGGTTTCCCTGGCCTACCCCCTTTGGATAAAGTTATAACAATTATAAACTTTAAATCGACCGGAAGTTTTGTTTTGCGATCTGGCATAGTTGGCTAGTGGAAAATTTAATAATCAGCTTTTCTTCAACTTTTAAGGTCAACGCAGTGGCTCTAATAGCCTGATAAACTTACAGCTTTATTACAGGAAAATTAAATATAACTTGAAGGAACTTTCGAAGGTTGAAAGCTTAATGTTTTTAATGAGATTAAAGGCATAATAAAGTTTAGTACAAAAACTTAACCTTGCGAATATATATATTTAATATTTTAATTAATACTTTGAAATTAATGGTGTTATGTTAAGTCAGCTTTACAATAAAATCGCTTTTAAGTTACGTTTTAAAAGTTTTAACTTATTTATAAGTTAGATTTATAAATACTTGAGGAAAATACCTAGTTTTTGTACTTGTTTAGCACCTAAGTTCTGCTGTAATTTAAACTAGCGTAGGTTTCCTTAAACCACCATTGTGGCTCTCGAGAAGAGCAGGTTAACTATGTTTTAAACTACCGCAAAGTGAGTGCCTGAGGGCGAGAGCCCAAACACCTGCCACAAAAACCCGACTACTCCTTTATTATCCACCAGAAACAAGCGGGCACATTAGCCAACCCTTTTGGCGGATTTTTGGGGCCAGGGCCGCGACCTACACCAATCACGGCCTGCATTGTTTATGATAAATGGAAACGCTTGCCAGCTGCTCTGCCCCGCGGGAGATACGAGAAAGAAAGGATTTGGGCAGGGGGTTTTTGAGAGGAGACTGGATTTCCTGAATGTGAGGACAACCGCTGGCTGGCGATAAATGAGCGCCCACGCCCAGGATATCGTCCTGTGGCCGTGCGACGAGGTCAGGAACAACAGAAAAAAATGGGAAGCCGCACTACAGAAAAGCGGATGAGTTTTTCGCTCTTGGGCGCCACTAATTGCTGCGCTTTGTTGCTGCTATCCACTATCCAATCCTCTGGGCACCTCCTCCGCTATATCCTTTCCACTCATTTTTTTTCCACGTTTCTAGCAGCTCCCGGGGCACTCATATTTTAACAGACTCTCGCCGGAGCTGCGTGTCTCCTCATTTTGCGCTTATTTTCTGAATTCATAATTTCATTTGCAGAGGCGAGCTTATCATCAGCTAGATGGGTCAAATGATGTGGTGTCCTGTCCGCCACCTAGATAATTTGTTGTCGGCCAAGAGAGGGCATTGAAAAAATTACATTTACATAAAACCAAAAAATTTTATAAAAAATAGCTAGCAAATATTGAAACAACACTTATTTTAATAAACAAAAAACAATTTCAAAAAATAAAAAAAAATCAACGTTATTTTAATGACTTTGATTGTTTAATTTTTATTTACATTAAATTATAATTAAAACAATTATATATGGATAAGTAAATACCTAAATTGTAGGTACATTTAAAATGATAGGCTTTTAAAGTAAAATTCTTACATTTCCCCAATTTAAATGAAATCTTCTCGCTGTGTAGATAATTCTTGTGATCTTTTATTTTTCCGGTTATTTTTGGCATAAAACTTTATTATTCAAATTTCTGCCATTTTCATACCATTTCTTATTGGCTTTGGTGTTGAGCCGCAGAACACAGGCCAAAACTGTTTGGCCGCAAGGAAATTGCATTTTTTCCGTCGCGGTCGTGTTGTTCCTTTGACGAGTTTTCGCCATCTTTTTCGCTTTGGGCTAGTGCATTTTGCATTTTGCAATTTAAATAATTTTTCCCTTTGGCTGCCATGTGGGGCGACCAAGACGTTATTACTGTCGGAATCAGGAGCCACTCGAGCGACGCACCCACGCAGCAAAGGATGTCCCGGGACGAAGGACGAGGGCAGCTTCGTTTTTTTTTTCGCCTCACTCGGTTCTTGTCGGGCCAAAAACGATGACGTAGTCGTCCTTTTGCAGGCAATCACCATCGCCTAGTTGGCTTCCAATTTCAGTTTGCCTTTGGCCAACGGCAGTGACGGAACATCTCGAGCGACTTGGAGCGGAAAATCCGAGAGGAACGCAGCGCGCGAGTGCCTGAAAAATATTTGAAAAATCTTTAATAAATCAAAGTAAAGGAAATAAGAGTGCTAACGATGATGTCGGGCATTTTATTGCTTCTGGCCTTGCTGGCCTTCGTTTCGAATGGTGTGTGTTGCCTGCGGTTTCTGGGCCAATATAATTTTCGAAATAAAAATATATATTGCATATCCTACAGGCGCAGCCATCAAGTGCTTCGTCTGCGATTCGAGCGACAACCCCAGCTGCTCCGATCTGGGCTCCAATGCCAGCATAGTTCCGGAGGTGAGTGAAAAGCAGATGACCAAGAACTCATCTATCAGCGGATAGATTGATTGATGATTCGCCTAGAACCTGTTGGTGGGCCAGGTCAAGTGGGCTCAACCTTTTCAAGCGGCCTAATCGCACCCAGGTTGACCTTAATAAAAGTTCTGGCCCACAGACGCTCACAAATTAAAACTACATAGCACACACATTCCCACCCAAAAGAAAAAAACAGAATAGTAGAGGTGAACTGTTAGAAATAGAGCCCACAAAAGCGGAAACGGAAACGTGCTACGTCGTCGTCCTCTTGTGGGCAAAACCCCCTTTTCCGCTCACCCCTTTTCCACGCTAAGTGAATTTTCTGTTACTGGCATCTTTCGCCTTTTTTAACACGGGATTGTGGAAGGTAGAAGGGAAAACTTAACCCGGCCACGTGCCAAACAGTGCAAATACTTTCACAAAAGTCCAAACGGCGTAAATTTTCACCTGACAGGTTCTTGCTGAAATCTAGTTGCCAGTTAAAAGAATTCATTTAATTTAAGGCGGCGACATTTTCCAAAGATTTATGATTGCAAAACTAGTGCCTAATCAAGTATAGGAAGAAATTTATTCAAACTGAAAAGTTTTAGTCAGTGCTAAAGACAAATTTAATAAAATCTTTTTTTTTCCACAAAAAAATATTAACTCAGTAATAAACAAATAAACTGTCAAATATGAAAAAAGTCCCGTGCGATTGTCTAATTATTCTTCAATGCGATAACCAAATTTGTAGTTGAAGTAAATAGTTCATTATAAAAAGTCACATTAATTCTTAAAATTTATTTCTTATGTCAAATCAAAGATGTGAATAGCGAAAAGTGCGCTGATTATTCTGTGATGTATTAATCTTATCTTTTTCGTATGCGAGACTCAATTTTCTTGTCAAAGTAAATAATTCAAAATCAAATTAGCTGTGCCAAATTAATCCCATCAATTTATGTGGTTTGTCAAATTTAAGATTTGAATTTGCAAACATAACAACAAATATGGCCTGGGACTTGGGCTCTGTGATTGCTATGAAGTTGACGCAAATCTTTTTATATGCGTGAATGAGAATTCACAAACGTCATTATTAATTTACGTTTATACTTTATTTGCTTAGATAGGAAAAGTAGATTAGCCAAAAATAAACTGCAAGTATAGGTAAGATTTCTTAAGTGATTTTTGGTCATTTTTTTGGGCACTAATAAAAGTAAAATCAGGTTTTACGTTATCGAATATCATTTAGTCTTTATAACGAGTCTCGTATTATTTAACTTGAACACCTCATTTCAAGCAATTCGCCATTCTTTATCCTAAGTCATAGTTAAACAATTAAATCTCTAACACCTTAAAGGGGTTTTCCCCTCATTTTTCCTGAATGGCTATAAAGCCATTACGTTTTTCCAAGAAATCTTTTTATTACTCGACTTATCTAGGTTAAATAAATGGAGTTCAAGTGCTCTGTGTCTGATAACCAAGGCCGTCCGGGAAACGCATCGTTACCGATATCGGGCCATGTCGATAAGATAAATTAGTTACGCACCAAGTGCAACAGCCATTAATACCTCAATTACACACCTGCGACAAGATTGTCGAACAATACACACCTATTGTTAGCATTGTTATGAACCAAACTTTTAATCAAACCTAATTAATGACGCATACCGATTTACTGGGATTATTTCAGGAATGCACATTGGACAAAATGAGATCCCTAGACACTTGGCTTTTTGACTTGAACAAATTCGCCTATTTCGATAACGGCGCCAACAAAAGTCCGCTTATGAATTGCCAAAAAGTTGTAGCCAAAGACCGTGAGTATTTGCACGTACACAGAGAAAATGCATCTCTTATGATATACATTTAAAACATTTTAAAAAATTAAAATTTTAGAAAGCCTAACATTTATTAATTTTTAAAATGTTAAATGTCTTTTTCTCTGTATATGTTTTCCAAAAGCAATAAATTTAATATTTAAGTATATCAAATTAATTTTGTATAATGTGTCAAATGAATCATTAAATAAGTATTTGTCTTCTGACTTACAGCAAATATTTGCCAACTAATATTTGCCTTGGCTTATAAATGAATGTTATCAGATATCTATAGTAGATGGTAAGCTGCAATGTGCAGCTTTTATAGTGTGCTATTTATTATGGTGATAAAAAGAGCCTTAAAGATAAAAGCTCAGATTTACAGTTTACGGGAAATGTCGTGCATTGCAAAACATAAAAAATAATATCTAAAAAGTAAACAAAGTGCAGTGGTTTTTTAATGCCTATTCTTTTTTTACTAACCTTATAAACGTAAAGCAATCTTAAGATGTTCAATAAAATCAATGTGGTTAGACATTTAGGTGATTTTGATTTTACTGTGATAGTTTTAATTAGCTCAAGCTTAAGGTAAAAATCTTTCTAAAACGTAAAAGCTAGAGGATATTTATAAAAAAAATTATTTTTCTTTTTATATTTTATTTTTTTAATCAGCTGACACTAGGAAAGTGGTGACTGCGCGCTTTTGCCAACTGGACACCGGCGACTCCGATGCCTGTGAGATCCTGAGGAACAAGCTGAGAATTCCCAGCACCGAGGAGCGGGAGCAGCGCAATCGCAACCAGAACAAGAGGCGGAAGAACCAGGGAAACGGTCAGGATGGAGACGATGGTGATGAACCCTCCGCGGAGGAGGCGTTCTTCTGCGATATTTGCAAAACGGATCGCTGCAATGGAGCGGCGGCCATAACGCTCACTTTGGGTTCCCTTCTGGCCATGATTATGATCCAATTGGGCTTGTAAAGTATTCTATATAGATGATGGATAGATGGATAGCCATGGTGGCTGCGTTGGTTGCATTTAGGTTGAGTTACCGTTTACCGTTTACTTTGTAAATATTTGAGTGCTGATTCGAACAAGTGTTTCAAAGGCGCTCACTTAACCCCATTTACCCTTTCCCCTCTAACCCTTAACCCCTTAACCCTAGAAATGTAAGCACTCAATACACCGATACAGCAAACACAAAGTCGCTTTGATTCAAAACAAACATGGAACTTTCAATTTCCAAAATAAATACCAAAAAATCATAGTAGGGATATGTGTAACCAAGCTTGCGAGGCACTACATCCCTTATATCAATGTTTGGATCTTTATGCCCTTAGCTCTTACTATCTAGCTTTATTATGTGACTATTCAGATTGTTATTTATAATTGCTAGGAACGATGAGTATAAGAATTCACCGATTGCCTTTAATTTTCATAATTCATAGCAAGCAATATAGGTGTGAATTGAAATCGTCGTATGATTATGATATGTGTATATTCTTAGGTAAATTCAAAAGTGCTTATAAATTCGTGTTAAAAATTACTGGAAAGCAAACACAATCAACTTAATGCAAAACGCGAATTTAAGAACGAATTAAAAGAAATGCAATAAATGTTAATAAATGTGCAATTAATAGAAGTGTTAACAAAAAAGCAATGCAATAAATATTCTGTGAGCTTAGAAATTGCCTAAGAGCCACACACTATAGTACTATATGTTTTTGCGCCGAGTCGAGCAATCAGTTCTGCTTAGTTCGTAAGCGAGTTTTGAAATGAAAACCAAATGGAACATTCAGAGCACACGAATAAATGCTGTATGACAGTATAACAGAGTTTGGTGTACGAATTTATTACTATTTGATAACGGTGGCAGTAGCTGTATAACAGTTTCTGTATCTTGTTAGAGGGTATCTGGATTTTATCACAGTTTTTTTATTGATTGGGCAAAAGCAGGCAAGTATTTTAGACTGAAAAAAATAACAGAAGTAGCATATAAAATATTTAAAATTAGAAAATTTAATTGTTTAATTATTATTTTTTCTTTTATTTTCATAAATCATAAAAATCGGATTTCTTTATATTAAACCAGTATTTAATTTTTCCATTTTAACGGATGTAACCTAATAGGTTGGCTGATAAGTCCCCGGTCTGACACATAGGTGGCGTCGCTAGTATTAAATGCATATTATTTTTATAAAGTACTAACCTTCAAATGGTTCGTGTCAAAATTTGACGTCTGTCAGTCAATTAGTTTGTGAGATAGAGCGTCTTTTGTGAAGCAACTTTGGTTATGGTGAAAAAAATGGAAAAAAAGGAATTTCGTGTTTTGATAAAATACTGTTTTCTGAAGGGAAAAAATACCGTGGAAGCGAAAACTTGGCTTGATACTGAGTTTCCGGAGTCTGCCCCAGGGAAATCCACAATAATTGATTGGTATGCTAAATTCAAGCGTGGTGAAATGAGCACGGAGGACGGTGAACGCAGTGGACGCCCGAAAGAGGTGGTTACCGTCGAAAACATCAAAAAAATCCACAAAATGATTTTGAATGACCGAAAAATAAAGTTGATCGAGATAGCAGAGGGCTTAAAGATATCAAAGGAACGAGCTGGTCATATCATTCATCAACATTTGGATATGCGGAAGCTCTGTGCAAAATGGGTGCCGCGCGAGCTCACATTTGACCAAAAACAACAACGTGTTGATGATTCTGAGCGGTGTTTGCAGCTGTTAACTCGTAATACACCCGAGTTTTTGCGTCGATATGTGACAATGGATGAAACATTTCTCCATCACTACACTCCTGAGTCCAATAGACAGTCGGCTGAGTGGACAGCGACCGGTGAACCGACTCCGAAGCGTGGAAAGACTCAAAAGTCCGCTGGCAAAGTAATGGCCTCTGTTTTTTGGGATGCGCGTGGAATAATATTTATCGATTATCTTGATAAGGGAAAAACCATCAACAGTGACTATTATATGGCGTTATTGGAGCGTTTGAAGTTCGAAATCGCGGCAAAACGGCCCCATATGCAGAAGAAAAAAGTGTTGTTCCACCAAGACAACGCACCGTGCCACAAGTCATTGAGAACGATGGCAAAAATTCATGAATTGGGCTTCGAATTGCTTCCCCACCCACCATATTCTCCAGATCTGGCCCCCAGCGACTTTTTCTTGTTCTCAGACCTCAAAAGGATGCTCGCAGGGAAAAAATTTGGCAGCAATGATGAGGTGATCGCCGAAACTGAGGCCTATTTTGAGGCAAAACCGAAGGAGTACTACCAAAATGGTATCAAAAAATTGGAAGGTCGCTATAATCGTTGTATCGCTCTTGAAGGGATCTATGTTGAATAATAAAATCGAATTTTGACAAAAAAAAATTTTTTTCTTTGTTAGACCGGGGACTTATCAGCCAACCTGTTAACGTTACATATTTCAAAAACTAAAGATTATTGTTACGCTAGTGTCTTTAATTTCGAGGTATTTTACTATTCTGTGCCCAAAGTCTTCATAAAATATCACGTTTTCCTCTTGTTTTTCCCTTTTTTTTTAACTTGCTTTCAGCAATCAAAGATAATTTTCCCATTACTCATGTAAGATGCTTCAGTTTTTCGCCCCCAGCCCGCTTATCAATATCTCGACCTCTGTCGCTCCCTCAGTCCGTCTCTCTTTCACGCATTTAATTTGAAAGTCTGTGCCGATGCTATCGTATGTCGCATGTAGTTTTTTTCCCCGCTTCCCGTGAACTACATGTTTCACCAATGCCGCAAATTATGGGTCACCAACACACCCACACCCCCCCAAAGCCTCCAGTCCACGTTTATAGCCAAGAAATTCAGTTTTGATAGCGGAAACAACAGCCTCCGGAAAGTTCTTTGTGCCAGTTCAATTTGAATTTTCGGTAGCAACTGCTGACACGACAGCAGAGCGGAAAAAAATAGAAAAATAACCTCAAGAAGGAGTTGCCAATTTGCACCTATTATATGTACACTGCAATCCAGGGGCTCCTCAATCTGGGAAAGTTACCTCCTTTGACACCTTGACGTTTTGCAAATTGAAAGTTTTCCACCCAAAACCCAATTTTCCAAGCCCAGAATGCATTCACTGTGGTTTCTACTTGCTCTGCTGGCTTTCGTTGGCTGTTGCCCAGGTGTTTCAGGTATGTCATAAATCATAGTGCGGTGTAAGCCTTCCACATGCTAATTGATTGACCCCGAACCGAGTTACGAAAGTTGCGCATACGCAACGTTGAACCGCACACAGAAGGGTGCGCTTATTGCCCGAGTAATCCAGCCGATAAGGTGGATCTGATAAGCGCCTAACTAAAGGTCAGGGGTGTGTTTTCCCCTTTTTTTCCTCCTAAAAATAAAACCGCATTTTGCAAATAACAAATTTAGCTTATATTCGCAAATTTATTAAGTTCATTATGACTTTTCTAATGTCTTTTGTGAATACACATTTTTGTGGTTAATTATTTTGACAGCAATAATTTGTTTTAATTATTTCAAACTGGAAAAAAACTTTTGAATTTTAAGAACAATTTGTTTAGAAAATGAATAAATTTTAAAATAAATTTTAAATACAGATGGAAATTTTATACACATATACATACATTTTCATACACAGAGAAAATTGCAAAAGTTTTAGGTGCAAAATAAGGGGTGAAAAATTTTAAAAAGTAAAACGCTTCATTTGTTTCATTTCAAATTTGTCTCAAACTAGTCTCTCAGTTTTTGAGCTATCGGGATGAAACTTTCCCAAAAGTCTTCTTTCTATTGCAGGTAGTATATGTCGGAGCCGACCGGATCGGACAACTATATCTTATAGGTTCCATAGGAACAATCGGAAAAAAAAAACTTTAAAACATTCTAGCTTCGGTGTTTTTTGAAATATTACCTTCTACTTTTGGGGATGTTATTTTTTAAATATATCTGAATTTCGAATTAATTATTTAAAAAATCGGACTACTATATCATATAGCTGCCATAGGAACGATCGGAAAATTAATGGAAAAGTAATAGGAAATAAATTCTAGCTTCTTTGGATTTTATTGTATTATCTTCTACTCTAGGATATGACTCTTTTTAAATATTTCCGAATTTCAATTTTAATTTAACCAAAATCGGATGACTATATCATATAGCTGCCATAGGAACGATCGGAAAATTAATGAGAAATATTAGAAAATTGAACATGTTTGCGATTTGTTAATTAATAGGAATGATCTGCAAGGGTATATAAGCTTCGGCTGGCCGAAGCTAGCTTCCTTTCTTGTTTTTAAAACGTTTTTATATGAAAACGGCACCTAAGACGTTGTATAATTTTCTCTGTGTAGGCAAAATATTTTAAAAGATACCAGAATGTCTTTTTATTATTTATTTATATTTATTTATTTTTTATTAAAAATCCTTCTCTGTTCAGCTTTGCGTTGCTATAAATGTGAGGACTGCGATGAGAACACTCAGCTAAGTGACATGGAAGTGTGCGATGGCCCACTTATGAGTGGTAATGGACAGGGCACTCCTGCCAGTTCCAGTCCGAGTCCTGCTCCATCTCCATCTCCCTCTCCTGCTGCATCGCCCTCTCCCAATCCTCAGCCTTCTGGCGGAGGTGCTGCTTCTGGCGCCCCCGTTCCCGCTCCCTCGGAGGCCAGCGAGGAGGAGGAGGACTATGAAAGCGAAGAATCGGCCACCGTAGGCATCATGCCAGCAGGAAATGGTGCAGCCTCGGGAACCGGAACAGGAAATGGTGGAGCAGCTGCAGGAGCAACTGGAGGAGCAGCCGGAGCAGCTGTCAGTGAGGAGGAGGAGGAAGAGGAGGAAGAAGAGGAGGAGGAGGAGCGTCGCAGGCGGAGATCGTATGTCCGACAGGTCGACCTCGATATGCCAATCGCCTTCTGCTACACAGTGAGGCTCCAACGTAAGCATCTGTTTTCAATTCCCATCGCTGCACCTCATCATAAAAATCATAAAAAGCTGTCTGCTGTGATGCTCCCACCCACAGCGATAAGTTATCTACGATTGAGTCATCCCACAAAAGATAGCACAAAGTGCAAAACTGAAATGCACTGGTAGTCATAACAATAGGAAAAGATTAAACAAAATAGGGATTCAAAATCTAGTCAAAGAATGTGTTTAAAGTTTTTCAATAATAACTTTGTAAGATTTTGCGATTTTATATCTCTTTTAAAGTTTTTCAATATTATAGTTTCAGTTAACAAAATTTTGTTGCTTAAAAAATATGTATCTTTTTCTTCAGTTAAAAAAACAACATAATTCATCTTTAAATATTGTTAAAATAATTTAATAAAAACCAACATTTAATGTAATCTTTATTTTAGATAAAATTTACCTTTAATACAACAGTTTAGTTTTCAAACCGTCAGAGAAATACATTTTTTAAAGGTGTCTATAAGTATGCAACGAAAGACAGATCTAAAACTGAATAATTTCATTTACAAGAGATTTCAAAAGTCTTGTGATATATGTTTACTCAGTTTCTAAATATTATTACCCAATAATCGAACCTCCCTTACAGTTAACGAATCGGTGATCACCAAAAGGGGCTGCACGACCGCCAGGAAGAGTAACAAAACCGAAGGCTGCGAAGGGCTCTTCGAGAACTGGACCGTGGGCGGATGTAACCTGTGCCAGGACGACGGATGCAACCAGCCCAAACCAATCAGTGGAGTATCGTCCAGTCGAAATACCGGGTATTCTTGGACTATTCCAGCACTCACGCTATTGGCATTTATGACCCGTCGTCTGGTTTAAAAATCACAACATTCCCTTCGGGCAATTGTTTTGATATATAGAAATATATGGCCCACAAAGTTCGATTTCGACTTTGTCGTCTGAGTTCATTCTTTTTTGGGAGCGTTTGTCGATCTACGGGCCACATGATGTGTCTATTTATGGCTCGCTTACCACTCGTAAAGCGTAAAGTCTGGTAGGCAATGAGCGCACCTGAGCTATTTTCGCATAATTGTTTAATTGGCATCGATAAGGCGATGTCCCTTTTTTTTATTCGCTGGGGGAAAGTGCTCGCTCATTGAGAACGTTCATTCAGTTGCAACCGTATCGGAATCAAATCAATTAGTCGGTGGCGATAAGTGGTGACGAGGAGGAATACTTGTATGAGTCGGGTGCTCCCGTTCAAATACGATTTCATGACTTCATGCGACCCGTGAGCTGATAAAATATGATATACTGATCAAATGCCGAAAGCGTTTAGGCCGATAAGCGTTAGGAAGTCGAGTGGCAATTGCTGCCTAAAACTTTTTCCAGATTTATGGTATTATTTTCGGGGCCCGGAATTGAGGAGAGTTCTTAATACAGCGATGAGGAAACGCGGTCGAAAGCAAGCTATCGCTTTAAGGAAACCTGCTCTAAACTGTAAATGCAACTGCCAAATTCGTTAGGCTGATGTGGAATGAGAATACATATATACGGACTGTTTTTTAACTCCTCGATTTGTGGGCTCGCATTGGGGAATTTTAAACGCTTCCCCGTTTTATTTTCGTCGGCTTCCGGGACGGTAAAGTACCTTGTTATGACGAGCGTGCCCAAAAAGCCTTTCAAAACCCGGCTTTCGGTTGACGTTCGAAGAGAATCCAAAGAGAATCTCAATGAGAATCGGCGAAAAACCCCAGAGAAAGAGAATCGTCATCGGCACTTAGCACTTTACGTGATGTCGTCGACACTTTGGAAGATATATGCAACTTTTTCCCCTTTTTTCACCTCTTTTGCGTCTCCGGGGAAGTTACAGTTTTTATCTCCAGTCTGCGCTTTTCAGACGATGCGTCAGTTAAGCCAGCCGGCACTAACCAGATTCACTCGACATTTGGCACGAACTACGGCCGGTAACTGATGAATTATAATTTATATGCACACGAGGAAGACGCACGATTCCCAAAATGCAGCAGTAAAGTTTCAGGGCCAGGCATTATGGAAAAATAGATGGCCGATTTAAGTAAATTATGTGACTTATTCGATAAAACAAACCTATAGAACATTTCTGATTTCAAAACATGTTATCAATAAAATAAAAATATTTGAAAATAATAGATTAAATAATTATAATTATAATTAAATATATAATATAACATGATTTATAAATTAGAATTTTTTAATTTATTATTTCTGTGCAATAAATTAAAATCTTATCAGGTTTACAAGACTCTAAAATTTATCTTATTTAAAAATTGTAGAACATCACAAAACACAACAAATAAAGAAAAAACATTTTGTAGAAAATAAAAATATCAAAAACACCTCACACCTTACAAAAGTTCGGCTTATCAGTTGACCTTGTCCCCGGTCTTCAGGCTGCTTTCTGGGTCAGACAGCGAATTGAATTAACTTTCGAGCAAACACGACCTTGAGGCTTACTCGACTGGAAAATTTCGTTAGGCTATTGCGAATCCAGAGTTCTAAGCCCGCGAGCTACGAGAGGTGCCAATGCGGTAAGCCAATACGGGCCACAATGAAATCTCTGTTAATTGTTTGGCTCTGTCCAAGCCGCATTTGTTTGTTTGTTTTTCGTGCTCTGATATTGGATAATAATCATGGGACATCCACGGCGATATAAAAGTGACGAATATTATGTAAATGGGAGAACAGGTAGGGCGGCTTAAACCCTTAATTTAGATGGGGTTGGGTAATTTCTGGATTTCAGTTGCTGACTAACAATCAGCTGCTTAATTAGCGGGGAACAAAGAATCTCAAGGGGGTATAAAATACAAAGAGTGAGAAAAGTCGAACATAAAAGTGAAACGAATCCCCAGATCTGAATCATTTGCCTGGGGGAAAAGCCGAAGAACCCAAGATTCTTTCCCGGAAGAACCCATTTTCTCACATTAGCATATTAAGAGAGCAGACCCCAATAAAATTAAGAGCAACGGGTCTCTCACTCTCCCTCTCTTCGATTAATTAAATTTTTGCTCGTTTAGTCTGCATTATAAATTAATGTGTTATCAATAAAGAATGGGAAACTTGTTTTACGGCCCGCTCTTCCCTCTCTCTCTTGTCGGCTCGTGCCGTCTCTCTCTACCGCTCACTCTCTTACGCATTGAAGCCGCTGACGTCGCAGCAGCAGCGCAGTCCGCATTTTAAAACTCTATAAAAAGTCTCAAACAAATCACAAGATTTTCAGTTAAATTTCAGAATTCGCAAACTGCGGTCGCCCCTTTAAATAAATACTAAATCTAAACCAAGAGCGCGAAAAAGAAAACAAAACAAACGGCACATTTAATTAGTATAAATACTATACTCGAGAAAAATATTTAAAATATATCTGAAAGATATATTTCGAAATAAACAACACACAGACATCATGTTCAGCAAAAGCCACATCGTTTTGGCCAGCTCTCTGCTGTTGCTAATCGCCCTGCCAGGTAAAAAGCATTTGGGTATTTGAGGCTATTAGAGTTTCGTGAAAAGTGTCGTGATAACTTTGATGTGTCTTATTTTGCCTAAAAAGGTCTAAATCATGGGTGTATCAGATAGCAGCCGAAGGAATCATACGATCTGATAAACATATCTTGAGGATTTTAGCTTGCGGTCTGCCGCTATAAATATACACTCGTGTCTCAAGTGCTGTTCGCTCACATATGCAGTTGCCAAAAAAGACAGCAAAATTAATTCAGAATTCAAGATCATGAACATTTCGCCATAATATTTTGCATATCAAGCAGCGGTGACAACGGCGACATTTAAAACGGGCAATTTATTTGTTATTATTTAACTGTCATAAATAATGCAAAGATTGTTGCCAATTTGCGGGTTTATACTTTTTTATTGCTTTGTGATGCGGAAATGTCATTCGACCAGTCAGCTCCCACCCTTCGATTAAGTTTATCATTTGGGCCCTCTCTAATTTATGCCTCCGATGAAAAGGAAAAGTCAGCCGGGGAAATGGAGAACAGTGAACAAATATTATCTGACATTGAAGCGAGCTGCCTGCTGCTAATTGGAAATGTTATAGTTACACTTAACACATTTCGCAAAGGCGGCCCGAAATGGAAAAACTTGTCTGGCCATTAGCACCACTCAGAAAATAACCGAACAAAACCTGAATTTCTGATATTTTTTCACGATCTTTTGACGCAATTGCAAATGATTTAATTTGTGAATCGAGAAGAGTTACGTATATATTCAAAGGCACTTGGAAATACCATTTTAAACTTGTTTTTTTTCAATACTTAAAAAAGAAGAAATCAGCTAGAACGAACTTTGACTGAGGAATATTAAATGATTTTTCAATTACCCTTATACAAACAGCATTTGCATCACACAGAGTATTATGGAATTACCCAAGTAAAAATTAACCCTTCCAGTTGCACCTTTGTTTTTACAAAACAACAATACAGACCCCTGAGTTGCACTTTTGTTTTAATGCTAAAATAATAATAATGAGAAAGTCAAAGGTGCACAAAAAATTAAAATGGCGTGGCGAGGTGGCGCTTATCACGTGCCATTAAACCCCAGCCCCGACAATACTGTCATTCCCCCTGGAGAATTTAAGACCCGCCTTCATACCCCCAAAACGTCCCATCAATCAGAGTGATTTATGATAAATTTAAAATAATAAATCAACAAAAGTTGGGCAGAGATGTATTGAACCATTTGATTGTTATAGAGGACGGTGACGATTCTATATGGCACCCTTTTAGATATTATGGGAAAAAGCCGAGTTAAGTAAAGATTATTAAATCACATTCGTGAAGAACCCACATTTTTGGCACCAATTCTGCTGATATCGATGCTATCATATGGAGACCCGTCAAGTGGAGATTAAACTCTCGGTCGGATTATCGTGGCTGTCCATAGATATGACTCACCGCTGGCACTCCGCTGATAATTGGGTTCGCCGAGGGTAGCCGCATCCCCTGCTGATAAGACAATTAACGCAATTATGCCAGTGTACCCACGCCGATACGTTTTTCTGTTTACCTGTTTGCCCCTGGCAAATATTTGCTAGTTGTTGCGATGACGATAACATGCAAATGGAATCGATTTACTGGCGGCACACTCCCCCTCCAAATAAAACCAGATAAAAACAGCTACTGCGCTAGATCAAAGGCTAGGGAAAGGCACATACAAACTAATACTAAAGAATCGGCAAATAATACGCCAAATACTTTGGATTTAAATTGATTTATGGTACTCACATGTTCTTTGTTCTTATTGTCATCATTTACCGACTATCGCGATTTTTATGTTTGCCAAAGCTGTAAATTGAGCATTTTAACTGATAGATATCTTGGGCGTCCAATAAAATATCTATCCGTGGAAAGGGCAAGGCCAGAGGTAATAAGCCGCATTTTCAGTGAAATCATAAAAACACACTGCGATAAAGGGGAAAAACCGGAAAAGGTGTGCAAAAGTAGGGTATGCAAATTATGATCAATAAATTGATGATATATTTAACATCTACGTAAAAGACTCTCCTTAAAATTGTTTAAATTCAAGGACTTTTCTGATCAAAAATTTCCAAAGATTGGAATTAGAACACATGGGTGTATCACATATAAAAACTATTTGTGTCAACTTAAAAATAGGCATTATAAAAATTAATAAATTAAACTGTATTGCCTATATCAGATCATAAACAAGCCTAGAGACTCCAAATTAGGTCGATTTTTATGATCATAGAGATATTTATAGGAAGAATAATAAAAAGAAATAGATGTTAATATAGTTTATGATTAAAAATCTTTTACTTAAGCCAATTTTCTTTAAATTTTAGTAATTCGCGCCGATCTAATGTGCTATGTGTGCGATGATTGCGCCCAGCTTCCAAAGGACGCTCCTCTGCTTGCCTGCAATGAGGACTTCTTCAATCCGGGCGGCAGCACAGAAGCCTCCACGGTGACCACCACCACGACCACGGAAGCGAGCACCACCACGACGCAGGAAACGTCAGTGGCTCCTGTGGAAACAACAACAGCGATAACGAGTGTTGAAACCGATCCGCCCACTACAGAGTCCACAACGACCACGGTGGAAACTACTGTGACTAGCGAAGCCACAACCGACACCACTCAGAGCACCGAGGCCCCGATTCCCACGCCAGCTACCGCAGGACCCGTGCAGACAACTACCGGAGTTCCCACGCCACCCGCCGAGGATCTGGCTGCGCTATCGGTGGCCTTGAACACCACCCGTCTGGTGCCGGTGGAGACGGATGCGGAGACCACCACCCCGATTCCCTCGTTGGCCATCAGGCAGCGACGAGCGGTCGTCGACACCGGGGTCACCTATCACTGCTACTCCGTTCAGGTTAATGGTGAGTCGCTAAGAAATTTAAAATATATTTTAAAAATATTTTTAGCCTTTTAAATGAACTAAAAATTAAAATTTTTTTTTAAATAAGTTTGAGTAACATTATACATTTTTTTATTAAAGTATTTTAAAAAACAAAAATTTTAAAAAACAATATTGATTTTAACTATTTTTCAAATCTAAGAATTGCCAATCTTAAAATGTTGTTTATTCTCTAAAATATAGTCTAAAAATCCTTAAATTTTAATCACAAAATAATTAAAATAAGTTTTTAAAATAATGTCTGAATCATGCGCCCCCCACTCGGGTGAAAAATTAAAGGAATTTTGGTATTCAAAAAGTATGCAATAAATAAATTATTTTAATAACACCCCCATAAAAAAATCCTAGATCCGCCACTGGTCTAAATAATAAATTATTAGATTACTAACCAATTTTCCTACTTAAATTCTTTTAGTGAACGGCTCAATGACCACAGACCGTGGCTGCTCCCGTGTGACCACCATGGAGGGCGTTTGCGAGCAGCTGAAGATCCAGAACAACAACACGGAGCTGGCCAACTGCGATCCCTGCAGTATGAACGCCTGCAATGGCAGTGCGACGCTTCAGAACTCCGTCCTGGCCTCCCTGCTTTTGGCCTTCGTGGCCTTTGCCCTGCAGCGCAACTAGGGATTAGGTCATCACCCCCATTCACCCGGTGCTTTAATCTAGTATTCCTCGTTTCGCGAACACACACTCATCGGTCCGCGCTCATTGTTAAGTGATTCGAAAATTTATGTATTTTTTAAGATCTACACAAAACACACATGCACAAAAAACCGAATATCGAAATATATACAACTGTATTTGTATACAAACTTAATCTAACCAAATGTAAAGCTTCAGGCGACTTAATAAATAATATGTAATTATTAAATAAAAGAAATCAAAGTAGTCTTGCATTTTCTATTTTTATAAGGCACGTGATACTGGACGGCAACTTAAAGAAAAATAATAAACCTCAAAGTGAATAAACCAATAAATGTTATCTTAATGTCTTTAGAGGAATTTATATCGCTCTTTTCTTATATTGAGCAAGATAAGTGGGACCACTGAGATCACTTCCTGCAGCTAAAATTAAGGTGACACAATTTTTAAGCAAACATTTCATCATAAACATTTAACTTAGATATTGGTTTTCAAAACTGAATTAAAAAAATCCTCCAGATTTTAGTGTTTTTCAAATAACCGTAAAAGACTATTAAAAAGAAATTATAGTCAAATGACTAAATGTCATTAATCTTATCACTTTCCTACACACTAATTTTATTGTATGCATAAAACAAATATAGACGGTAAAGCACCTTGCAATACCAATGCCAATATCACGTATACGCCTAGTGGTACGATTTCATTTGTTGAACAAACATTCTACGTTCAAAAACAGGCAAAGGCATACTTTTAGGCCATTTATGCTAAGCAAATTTGCTCAAGACAAGCCCAAAAGCAAAATATAAAAGGAAATCAAACACACAATAACAAAAGGTTCTCATTGATTAGATAAGATTTCATTAAACAAATTTGGAACTTTCGGAAACACTAAACGAAATAAATATGCGGCCACGCGTTTATCAATAAAGTTATTTTATAGCGCCACATAAATACTGCCATAAACTGATTGATAAGTTCAACAGAACTATTTTACGCCGCCTCACGGGTGTCCGCTACTTTTAACCTATCGGCTTATCTAGGAATTCAAGCGATTTTAATAGGCAAAACAATCCAAACCAACAGACATGTCGTCTCCTTCTAAGAACTAGCGATAGATTAGCCTTACTGATCTCTTGAAAATTACAAGTTGTAATCAATTTTTCAATTATCTTTTTTATTGTGCAGGTCACAAGCTTGACAAAAGTGTCCAAAGTTCCAATGTCCAAAAAAGTACACAAAATAACGATGATTTTGGTGCTCATCTATTAGGCAGCTGTCCAAAATAATATGAATCATAATAAATAAATGTAGATAATACTCGTTATTTAACCACATTGGGAAAGTATGAATCATGATAAACATTCGTATTAAATGGTATTTGGCTTCCCTGATATTCCTAGATTATTTATCGGAATTCTTTTGGCGACGTTAACAGACCACGCGAAAGTTTAGTTACTACACACTGATAAATATTTATTATGCACAGTGTCTATAAGATCCATATTTATACAGAATAATCTAACATCTATTTCTCGGAAATAATGTTTATTAATAATTTTAAAGTCAACATCAAAAACGCTTTTTAAGTAATTTTAAAAAATATATATTTTTTGTTTTATAAACAGACCACGCGAAAGTTTAGTTACTACACACTGATAAATATTTATTATGCACAGTGTCTATAAGATCCATATTTATACAGAATAATCTAACATCTATTTCTCGGAAATAATGTTTATTAATAATTTTAAAGTCAACATCAAAAACGCTTTTTAAGTAATTTTAAAAAATATATATCTTTCCAAAAATAGTTAAATTCCCCATTCGTATTCAATTTTATTTTAAGTGTATATATTTGCCCAGCAAATATACACATTTATATAATTTTTTAGGCTTATTAATCAGGCAAAGTCTTCATAAAGCCAAGAAAAGACTTAGACTGATCGGGCTGATTAGAAATCGATCCGACTGATTAGATTTCTGCATAAATTGGAAGGCAAGCGATGACTTCGCTTAGATCCAAAAGCGTACGTCCTTAGAAGTTATGACCTCTTAAATGTTGCCAACGGGTCTAGATATATAAAAATTGCGAAATTAGCGCAAAAAAAACCTTCAATCAAAAGTGCAATTAACATTTAGGGGTGTATCATGGGTTTGCCCCATTATCAATAGGCCATTGGTCTTAGGGGTCTGTCAAATGGGATATGGAATAAAAGCCTCATTGATAAGGAGTCAGTTCTTGGAACTAAGAAACACCACAAATCGGGAGCAATAAATGCGCATTGATCGAAAGTTATTATATTACTTCTGCATCCTGAGGAAGTGTATAAACCAGTATTTACCCGAGAAACCCTTCAAATACCTTATCATCACGCATCGAGGCTATTAACTTTTATTGGGCCAATATCGCCAGGAAGACGAGCTGCAAAAAATGGCCTAAACAATGCCAGTTTGCCGCTCTGCTTTTGCGCTGCTTTCCTGCTCTGCCGGCGCTTATCAGTGACTGCAAATGATAAAAAAGCCAGGTTAACATTATATTTAATTGGTAGTTCCCATTCAACCGTCGTGCGGTGCGCTTCTCATTATTCAAAAGCTCTGATCCTCGCTAAAAATATTTTACTCGGTTAAAATCCTTCGGTTCGTGAAAAAAAAGGAAAAATGCGTCTGATTACGTTTAACATTTTGCTGGTGGCATTTTGTGCCTGCTCAACTTTTTCGCCAGGTTGGACATTTTTATTCCATTATCTCAAAATGCAGCGTACCGAACACCTGATTGAATAATACAGAGTTTAACTTTATTGATTGATTAATCGCGCGTCAGAAGTACAAATGGAAATTCGTAAAATGTACTAACTTTTCAGTTCAGTGAAAGAAAAATACCGTTGACTCCTTATCAGCCGTGTTGACAGCGAATTCCAGTCGAGAATAGCGCCACGGCCAGTTCCATTATTAAAATTAGTTTTGTTGCCACCAACGGTTTTTAACTTTAAAGATATTTTGCAACTTAGTCAAGCACATGCCCATTGCAAATCCTTAAAAATATCAGTTTTATACGCAGAATATCCTTTTAAAATAAGGTTTATGTTTGTATGTGAAATATTCAAAAATGTATTGCTCCTTAAATATTGAACTTTTTAAAGGACGCCATTTAAATTTCTTCAAATTATAATATCCTTTATTACCGATTAGCATTAAATAGTTTTTTGGAATCTATATTTAAAAGTGTAAACTAATAAATTAAGTTTTTAGTTCACATATCTTTGACTACTAGTGGAAAAACTTTAAATTATAAAATTTTTTAGACGTTTCATTATTAATTAAATTATTCCAAATAGGGGGTTTCCCATCAATTTACTATGTTGATTTATAAGTTTTAGAAGTAACGACATCACATCCAAATGTGAGCAAAAGCAGGCTTAATTAGTAAAAAAATTAATTAGTAAGTTTTAAATTACATGAAAAATGGATAAATTACATTTAGTTCATACAGAACAGCCATGATCCAGAATAAAATGGAAACAGACATCAAGTTGAAAGGTTATCTGATAAAGGGAAACTCAAGTACGTTAACCTAAAAAGAGCACGATGCTTACAAAGCGTAGAAAGTTGTCCGATTTGCTCGGTGAGGCAACCGTGCCAATGTTATCTCGTATTTGATTTATCAATCAGAGTTATTGCCTGCTCTCGAGCGACGAATTTTATCTCGTTCGGCCTTCGGGCGACCTGCCCACCACTCCTTCCCCTCCTCCCACCTCCGACTGACTCACCTTTTACCCACTTTTTTCCAGCGAGTTCCCTGCAATGCTACAGTTGTGTTGGAGAGGAATGCCATGTGGAAGACGTTCCGACGGTCTCTTGCACTCTCGATGGCTCTTCAGCATTTGCGCTGGAGACAAGTGCCGCATTGAATCGGTTCAGGCGGAATCTTCTCTCAGTGATGCCACGAGCAGCGAATGACGATGTGGTAGCACTTGATGAAACTACTGATTCTCCTTCGGCCACTGATTCTTCGACCGCTTCGTCCTCCGATTCTACGAGTGAGGATTCCTCAACTAATTCTCCTACTGAGCCTTCTAGCACCACGGTTTCATCAACCTCTTCTACAACCACGGTAGCGTCGACCTCTGATTCTTCGACCGATTCTTCCTCCGATTCTACGATTGAGGATTCTTCAACCAATTCTCCTACTGAGCCTTCTAGCACCACGGTTGCTTCAACCGCTTCTACAACCACGGATGCTCCAACATCCGAATCTTCGTCCACCACCACGGATGCTCCAATCTCTTCTACAACCACGGATGCTCCAACATCTGAATCTTCGACTACCCCCACGGTTGCTTCCACGGATTCCTCCACCGTTTCGTCATCCGAATCTACGACGGATTCTTCAACAACTGATTCCACAACGGATTCTTCAACAACTGATTCCACAACGGATTCTACAACAACAGATTCCACAACGGATTCTACAACAACAGACTCCACGACGGATTCTACAACAACAGATTCCACAACTACCGACTCGACCACCGAAACTACGCCTGAGGACACAGATTCTTCAACCAGTTCTCCTTCAACAGAATCGTCTTCTACAACCACGGGTTCTTCAACATCTTCTTCGACCGAGTCTAGCTCAAGTTCTACTACCGATTCTACAAGCGTATCAACACCGTCTTCTCCTGTATCTTACAAGCTTGCCGCCTGCTACAGTATCTACAAAGACGGAGGTGAGTACACACAGCAATATATTTAAAAAACAAATTTTAAATGTATTTAAAAACAATATTTTATGTAATATTGAATGTAACTAAACGAAACATTTTCTCCATATCACACAACAGTTATAAACCGTGGTTGTGTCCAGGTGCCCGATGGTCAAAGTGGCTGCCAGGCAGTGAAGACCGAACTCCAGATAGCCGATACAGAAGACTCTGCCGATCAGTGTGATATCTGCTTGACAGATCGCTGCAATGGGAGCAATAGCTTGAAGCTCTCACTGGCCGCCATGATTCTCCTCCTGACGATGGGTCTGAAAAACCTTCTCTAAGAGGTTGTGGCAGTTTATTATGTATTATGTATATATTTGTTAGTAATTTGTATCCATATTTAATTAAAAATTATTTGACAATTGCCAATTTCAAAATATTTATTCCATTTTATTATACTTTTGTCGCTGAAAAAATATCCTTTATTATATACCAAACACTTTGGATGCTTTTAAATATGATTATTTATTGAAAGAAAAAATTTTGTTATCCATTTGTTTTTCACTACTCAAATTAAACGAGGATTCCCCTATTTCAAAAAAAATAAATATGAGTCGTTCTATTTTTATGATCACGTTTTATTTATCTTTGCTATCATGCAGCTTATATTGTCGCATTTTAAAATTTAAATTGATTGATTTACTAATCGCACGACAGTGAAATTTACTTAAAATATTAAACTATTTTCCTTTGGTGAGGGGAAAATAACTTTAGCCTCTTAAGTCCACGTGGGCACTGGTTTCCTGTAAAGATACATAATATTAAATTTTTTCTAATGTTTAACTTTAAATATAAGTAGGATAAATCAGACACCCACTAGAACATTACTAATTAATAACCAAGATTGGCGTTTTGCACAAATAATTTGAAATAAACAAACTGAGAATACATTAAATTCATAGTTTACCTTTTCTACTGAGACTCATGAAGAAAGACTGGGATTCTGGGCGGATTCAAATGCCTGAAATTAAATTGTAAGTATATAAACTTGTTAAACCACTTAGAAATCAAGAGAGAACGAACCTTTTGTGCGACTTTTAGCAGGCTCTCGTAGGTGGCGTGACCCGTCTGCTTGACCATGCCGTGGAACACCTTGGAGTCTGCTACCGTCAGCAGTTCGTAGGGCGTCCCGAACTCCACCGCTCTTCCGGCGTCCATGACCAGCACCTTGTCCGAGTCCATGATGGTGTGCAGCCGATGGGCTATCGTCAGCACGGTGCACTCCTTGAACTTGTTGCGAATGGTGGTCTGGATGAGGCCATCCGTCTGGGGATCCACGTTGGCCGTGGCCTCGTCCATCACCAGGATGCGGTTCTCGCGCAGGATGGCCCGAGCCAGGCAGACCAACTGGCGCTGGCCCACGCTGAAGTTGGTTCCGCCCTCGGTGATCTTGCTCTGCAGGCCACTGGGCAGATCGGCCACCACGTCCTTCAGCTTCACCTCCTCCAGGCTCCTCCACAGCTTCTCGTCGCTGTACTCGTCGAAGGGATCCAGGTTGTATCGCATGGTGCCGGAGAAGAGCACGGGCTCCTGGGGAATGATCGAGATCTTGCTGCGCAGGTCGTGCAGCCCCATCTCACTGGTGTCCCTCTTGTCTATGAGCACGGATCCATCGTTGTAGGACAGTCGGAAGAGGGCGTTGATCAGCGAGGATTTGCCCGCCCCAGTGCGTCCCACGATGCCTACTTTTTCTTTTGGCTTTATCACGAAGCTCAGGGACTTGAGCACATTCTCCGATTTCGGATCTGGTGTATAGCGAAGGCTCAACTCGTCGAACACGATCTTTCCCTGCTCTGGCCAGGTCTTTGGTGGCTTCTCATCGGCCGGAGCTTCCAACGCTCCTTCCGGCTCAATGTCCTCGTACTCCACCACCCTCTCCACGGCGGTCATTAAGTTCTCCATCTGGGCTGACTGACGCATTCCCCACTGAACCATGCCCATCAGACCCATGACCTGTAAGGGAGAACAGGGGATGAGTAAATCCAAGGGGAAAACTATCTTTTGATGGCCCACCTGTGTTATGGCTAGACCCACATCGCCTCCGTTTGCCGGAGGAAAGATGAAGAAGCTGAATGTAACGATTGCTATGTAAACCACACACAGGCACTCCATCCAATAACCATAGGCACTCGAGGTGCTAAGGAACATATAAAGAGCTGAGCTGTGCACATCCTGGTAATTGTCAAACTCTGTTTCCAAAACGCGCTGAGCCTCAAAGGCTCGGATGGTGGACAGGCCGTTCAGGGAAGCAGCCAACTGGGAGTAAACTGGTGACCTGGCTTTAGAAGTATAATAATTTAATAAAATATATTTATAGTTGGTAATAAAAATACTTACCTATAGCTTCAATTCGCTTCAGGTCCCTCGAGGTTTTCAGATAAAAGTTGCGCAGCTGACAGAAAATGATACTCATAACTAGTGTTGGAGCAAGAAACAAAGGATTGACAATGACTAAAAGGATGATGAGTCCAGCCAGGGAAAGAATAATCTGTAAGAGATCTGCCATCACATCGGGAAGCAACTCGCTCACTTGGCTCATGTCCTTCGAAAATCGATTCAAAATGCTTCCTACTTCAGTGGTGCTGAAGAAGTGCATGGAAGCTCGCATTATCCTTCTTAGTATGGTGTTGTGCAGACGAATAGAGGCTTTCTTGGCCATATTGAACAACATTGTATTGGCCAAAAAGGGCAGTAGAATGGCCAGTATTGTGATTAGCGTGAATATGTATAAATCCATTGTAACGGAGTCCTTTACTTGCTCACTTATCGAGGGGTTTGGTTCCAGCGTATCATTTAATTCACCTCGAGCATTCACGTTCTTGTTACCCCTTATAAAAATGATATCAAATCCAATTGTTAAAAGTCGATGATTACATAATTGATTACTTTTCGTATTACTATTATTCTAGACTTAGCTTTTCCAATTTTACTTATATTTTATGTTGGAAAATATGTATTATGCTCTCGACTTACCAGTAAGTCAGGAAGTAGTCGCCCCATGAAACCGCCCCCTGCGCCAACACGGAACAGCTCATCATGGCAAAGAAAGCGATACATCCGCCGCCCGCCTGGAAGTACTTCTTGTACAATCCCAGACCAATGCTACCAGATCCTTGGGTCTCCTTAGTTATATTCTCTGGAGACAAATCTCCGACGGACTGCAAGGATTTCAGACTGTCGCAGCGAACTACATTATGGGTTTTACTATCCAAGCGCGGACGTTCCTCCTCCAGATTCTTCTCTTCCTTTTCCGCTTCACCCAGTATGGTGACAAAGTCGACTCCCGTTTTGAGGAGCGAATCGTAGGTGCCCACCGCACTCACCTGACCCTTTTCTAGGATCACAATCTGATCGGCGAGCTGCAGGAACTGCTGCTGATGGGTAACCAGCACTACGGTTTTCCCACGCAGATAGCCAAGCACGCACTGTTCGAAGAGATGACGGGCCACCTGGGTGTCCACCGCACTCAGCGGATCGTCTAGTAGGTAGATGGAGGCCTCCCGGTAGACAGCTCTGGCCAAGGTGATCCTGGCCCTCTGGCCACCTGAGAGCGAAGCTCCTCGTTCTCCTACTACAGTCTTATCCTTGAACGGAAGCAGCTCGAAATCTCGTTTCAAAGCGCACTTTTCTACCACCTGAGCGTACCTTCGCCGATCCATGGGTTGTCCAAAGAGGATATTCTGACGAACAGTTCCAGAGAAGAGCCACGGCTCTTGGGAGGAGTACGAAACGGAGCCATTCGCCTTGATCTGACCAGAATCCGCCTTCAGCTCCCCGAGGATGGCCTGTATAAGACTGGATTTTCCAGATCCTGTGGAACCCATGACGGCCACAATAGTGCCTCTCTGAACCTGAAGATTTATTCCACTAAGTGTGTAATCCGGGGATTCGAGATCCCATTTGGCTTTAAGTCCGCTGATGGAGATGACAGATTCGGGGAGATCCTTCTCAGGATCAATAACAGTTTGGGATGGCGGTAAAAGCTTTTCCTCCTCTGCCGTAGCATTGATGGAATCCTTTGACGGAGTCTCGAGCTCACTCACCTCCTCCGACAGCATGAACTTTTCCACACGCCTTATGGAAACCAGAATTTGGGCTGTGTGATTGATGGCGTTCGGGAAATATATATTCATGGAGCCTTTCAGGGCATTGTAAAAGGCAGTGATCAGAAATGCCTTTTCCGGCGTAAGAAACTGGCCCAGGAAAACGTAACCAGCCAAACTGAGAAAGATGGAGACCCGTGAAAGGATCATTCTGCAGGTCAAGGCAAAGCTTCTTATGATTTGCCCTTGGCGAATGGCGTTCATTTCTTTTCGACGTGCATACTCGGTCATTTTCTGGAAAGGCAGTTCCCAGGCGTACATCTTGAGCACGCGGATGCCCGAGATGATTTCATTGACCATCCGCATCCGATTGTCCGTCCTTTTGGCGGCCCTCAACTGCAGCACCGCCGTCAACTTGCCCAAAAACATCTGAAGCGGTATGAAGAGCGCCATGAAGATAACGCCAAAGAAAGCAGCGATTCCAATCTGCAGACGCACCATTTCGATTAATGTGATTTTGATATTACTGAATAAGTTCTGCTTACCTCCTGGTACATCAAGTAGGTGACCACCACGGTCTGCAGAGGCCCCACCCAAAGGTAATGTAAATAGTATTGTGCATAGTCCAGGCGGGAGATGTCGTTTGAAATCAGGTTGACCACATGACCGGACATGGTGTTGCCCAGTGCCCGTCTGCTCAGACGCAGGGCCTTTCGGTAGATAAGGCTTCCTAAAGCCACCCGCATCTTGAAGACTGGAAACGATTTTAACCTCTTGAAATATTAAAATATGGCTGACTGACTTACAGACAAGATGCATGGTAAACATGACAGGAACTAGGATCATCACGCAGAGAGCATTACTCAGGATCAAAGCGCCCGCATAATAATAGCCCATCTCAGCGGCTTCTGTACCATGTGTGTAGTAGGAAATAAGCTTTACCAGAAAGATGGGCTTTAAAGTTACCAGTCCCATCTCTACCAAGAAAATTGACAGTCCGGGAAATGCGATTTGCCAGCCAAAAACCCGCAGCAGGGCTCTTAACAAGCTTGGCTTTCCCTCTGATTTTCTTTCTCGGTCCCATGAGGCGCTCAATTTGTCGCCAAGATTATCTTAAAAAAAAAATTAAAAATAAGATCCGATTTGCCGAATACTTCTAATTATCATACCCGACTTAAGTTCCTTCAGAGGACTGTAAATGTCATTTTCATCCAACGTGTTCTTTGAGCCCTTACGAAATATGGGCATAGTATACCTATATTGATTATATATTTTTTTAGATTTATTAAGAACTGTATTAAACTCTTACTACAAAGCATGTCTTACCAAAAACATAATGACGAAATGAAATTCGATCTCTCTCGAGGATTCTCCTGCAGGTCTTCAGTGTTTACGGACTGCATTTTTGTTACCGCTAAACAAAAATAATACTAGAGTTAACTAAAGTTATCGTTTCAACCGACTTAAGCACTAAACGAGCATGATAGAATGAGTATATCGCATGGGATATTTATGATATCTCGCTGCCTAAAAGTGTGCTCTACAGAACAGCTGTAAAAATTCGCTCAAGCCTTAGTTTATATTATAAACTTTATAAATGTACAAGGTTTTTAGCCCTGAATTATGTTTTTTGAATAAGAAGAAGACTTTTTTTACAAGCAATCAATTGCCGTTTGTTGAAGTTACTTTAGAATTATGTGAACCAAAAATCAAAAACCGATCAGATATTGATGAAATTCTGTAAAACCAGTAACTCTATCCCGATTCAATTTGTGGTTTTCGACGCGATACACATAGAAATGAATTTGTTTATGATATTTACAAGCACCAAAATATTTCTGTCCGGTCAACTACAATTATTATGTTAATTACTCCACAACACGTCCGCGCTCCGAAAAGTTAAGTATGCGACTGGCGAGAATAATTGGGGCTTTTCGCTCATAGTGCCGAATTTGTAGACAATAAATGAGATAAGGGCAACTTATCGGCTCTAAGAGAATACTGTGGGTAATAAGCCGAAAACGTGCATGGTTTCAGTAATACTCAAAAAAAGCTCTCCTTAAATTATATTATTATTTTTAAAAGAGAGTTACACTAGGCATTTTAAAGTGTTTTATACATAATTTATTTAGCATAAAATAAGTCTAGACTCATCTTGTAGGTTGCTAGATAAGATACCAGAAAACCATGAAAGATACCATTTGATTACCGGTGTAGAATTAAAACTTAAACAAGTTAAAGATGTTACTACCCAACATTAAAACAAATCTGATATTAACTAATTTTAATTTGAATTTGAATTTTAATTAATATTAATTTTATTTCAAAATTATATTTTAACCCTTTTTTTCTATCTTATATTTATTATTTTGAAACCTTGGTGGGGAGAAAATTTTTTGATACAATCGCACCCTCAAATTAAAAGCCATTTTTCCTCCTTAGCTCTTTATTTATTAAATGAATTTCCCATTGCAATATTTTACATTTGTGTATATTTGCAGAATGCATACAAAATAGTATTTAAAGGCACTTCTTTGCACTTAGTAAAAGATAAATAATTACAAATAGTAAATTAGGCAACGGGTTCCTATACAGTTTTTGAGTAATATAAAGTATTAAACATACGCACGGACAAACATATTTACATTCACACAAAATAACACATTCAAAAACATTAACATTAGTTAAACTAGTTATAACCATCTAAAGACAAGCACCTCCGCACAACTTGAAGTACATAGTTCACATAATAACTGAGTTTCATGACGAAAGACTGGGATTCTGGGCGGTTTCAAATGCCTGAAATTAAATTGAGATTTTAGAAACTTGTTGAACCACTTCGAAATCAAGTAAGAACGAACCTTTTGTGCGACTTTCAGCAGGCTCTCGTAGGTGGCGTGACCCGTCTGCTTGACCATGCCGTGGAACACCTTGGAGTCCGCCACCGTCAGCAGTTCGTAGGGCGTCCCGAACTCCACCGCTCTTCCGGCGTCCATGACCAGCACCTTGTCCGAGTCCATGATGGTGTGCAGCCGATGGGCTATCGTCAGCACGGTGCACTCCTTGAACTTGTTGCGAATGGTGGTCTGGATGAGGCCATCCGTCTGGGGATCCACGTTGGCCGTGGCCTCGTCCATCACCAGGATGCGGTTCTCGCGCAGGATGGCCCGAGCCAGGCAGACCAACTGGCGCTGGCCCACGCTGAAGTTGGTTCCGCCCTCGGTGATCTTGCTCTGCAGGCCACTGGGCAGATCGGCCACCACGTCCTTCAGCTTCACCTCCTCCAGGCTCCTCCACAGCTTCTCGTCGCTGTACTCGTCGAAGGGATCCAGGTTGTATCGCATGGTGCCGGAGAAGAGCACGGGCTCCTGGGGAATGATCGAGATCTTGCTGCGCAGGTCGTGCAGCCCCATCTCACTGGTGTCCCTCTTGTCAATGAGCACGGATCCATCGTTGTAGGACAGTCGGAAGAGGGCGTTGATCAGCGAGGACTTGCCCGCCCCAGTGCGTCCCACGATGCCCACTTTTTCGCGGGGTTTTATGACGAAGCTCAGGGACTTGAGCACATTCTCCGACTTCGGATCTGGTGTATAGCGCAGGCTCAACTCGTCAAACACAATCTTTCCCTGCTCTGGCCAGGACTTGGGTGGCTTCTTATCGGCCGGAGCTTCCAACGCTCCTTCCGGCTCAATGTCCTCATATTCTACAACCCTCTCTACAGCGGTCATTGTGTTTTCCAGCTCGGCGGATTGACGCATTCCCCACTGAACCATGCCGGTCATTCCCATGGCCTAGAAAATACAGAAGAATTGAGTATTTCATCTGTAAAATTATTCTGTAGAGACTCACCTGAGTTATGGCAAGTCCCACATCGCCTCCATTCGCCGGAGGGAAGATGAAGAAACTGAGGGTAATGATTGCTATGTAGATCACACAGAAACAGTCCAGCCAATAGCCAAAGGCTCTCGAGGTGCTGATGAACATGTAAAAAGCGGAGCTATGCAAGTCCTGGTAATTGTCGAACTCCGCCTCCAAAACGCGCTGAGCTCCGAAGGCTCGGATGGTGGACAATCCGGTCAGTGAAGCAGACACATGCGAGTAAACCGGGGATCGAGCTATTCAAAAAATACGAATAAATATATTTTAACTATTTTTCTGGTTCTACAAATTGATGGTAACTTACTAATGGCTTCCATTCGCTTAACATCCCTCGAGGTTTTCAGGTAGAAGGTACGCAGTTGATAGAAAATAAAGCCCAGGACTACGGTTGGTATGAGAAACAGCGGATTGACAATGGCTATGACGATCACAATGCCAGCCAGAGAAAGGAAGATCTGGATGACGTCCATCATCACGGCGGGCAGTATCTCGTCCACTTGACCCATATCCTTGGAGAAACGATTCAAGATGCGTCCCGATGGATTCGTGTTGAAGAAGTACATGGCAGCTCGGGTGATTCCACGGAACATGGAGTTGTGCAAACGAATTGAGGCCTTCATGGCCAGATTGAAGAACAGAAAAGAGCGCGCCACGGTCACCAAAATGGTCAGTATAGTGATCACCGTGAATATGTACGTGTCCAGCATTTCAGCGTCCACTGCAAGTCCTAGATCCCGCAGCCAAATCGAGAGACGAGGCTCCAGTTCCACAGGACGGCTAGTATCATTATTATCGGCACGGTAGGCCACATTTCCCTTTTTGGTTACCCTAAAAATATAAAATGATCATTATGGCAGGGTTCGGAAATTGACACACATGTTAAAAACATAAAAAATTGTATTTTACAGGGTGAGCAAAATTGTTGACATATGTACATATGTGTCAAATACAAAAGTGTTACAATTTTAAAAATAATTGTTAGCAAGTAAGCTTGTGTTTTTTACAAAATGTGTTATTAACACGACGTGTTTTTTATACACTGTGTTTTTAACACAAATGAAAATTACATTTCACAACATTAACGAGTCGATATGATAGTTTTAACCATTTCAAAGCATATATGAATTCTTATACTCTAGAAAACCGCGCATTTTTCAGTTCAACATACAATTCTGACACTTTAGTGTCAAAAACTCATTGTGTTAAAAACAAGCTGTGTTAAAAAACACGCTGTGTAAAAAGCACGTCGTGTAAAAAACACAAATGACATGTGTGTGTTTTAAATGTTTCTAACATATGTATGATACAATTTTTTACACGCAAGTCAATAATTTTTTTTAACTTAACACCTTTAAATGTAACATCTTAATAACACAAGTATTTTACAGTGTGTGTTATTTTACGAACCCTGATAAAAGGTAATCGTTAAAGAACCTGTATAATGTATTCTTTACCAATAGGACAGAAAGTAGTCACCCAGCGAGGCCAAGGCCTGGGAGAGCACACAGAAGCTCATCATCACGAAGAAGGCGAAGAATCCGCCGCCCGCCTTGAAGTACTTCCCATACAGACGCAGCCCGATTTGACCCACCACCTGGCGTTCCTGGGTGATGGCCTGCTCCGCCTCGGGATCCTCCAGACACGAATCGGCCATGGACAGCAGGGACTGCTCACTATTCCTCCTCTGATCGGAATGGCTGTGCGTATAGCTGCCCGATCGCGATCGGGAACGCTCCTCTGAATGCTCATCCCCCTGCGGATCGGCTAGCATGGTGGCGAAATCCAGTCCAGATTCGCGTAGCGACTCGTACGTGCCCACGGCACTCACGTGACCCTTGTCCATGATCACAATCTGATCGGCTTGCTGCAGGAACTGCAACTGATGGGTGGCCAGGATGACGATGCGATCGCGTAGATAGCCACGCATGCACTGCTCGAAGAGATGACGGGCCACATGGGTGTCCACGGCACTCAGAGGATCGTCCAGCAAGTAGATCGAGGTCTCCCGATAAACAGCCCTCGCCAGACTGATCCTCGCCTTCTGGCCACCCGACAGGGAGGCTCCTCGCTCGCCCACAATGGTCTTATCCTTAAAGGGAAGCAGCTCGAAATCCCGCTCCAAAGCGCACTTCTTCACCACCTTGGCGTAGCGCCGACGATCCATGGGCTGGCCAAAGAGGATATTCTGCCGCACAGTTCCAGAGAAGAGCCAGGGTTCTTGGGAGGCATAGGACATGGTGCCATTTACCTTGATCTCGCCCGACTCGGCGGGCAGTTCCCCGAGAATAGCTTGGATCAGGCTGGATTTACCGGAGCCAGTGCGTCCCACAATGCCCAGCATGGTGCCGGGCTGAACCCGCAGGTTTACTCCATTGAGCGTGTAGTCGGGGGATTTGATGTCCCATTTGGCCATGAGTCCGCTGATGGAGATTCCCGCCTCCGATAGCTTGGCGTTCTCACTAATTGTGGTGAGTGGTGGACCCAAAAGCTTATCCTCAGCTTCATCGCGATCCTCGTCTCCATCAGCATGAACTGTTGCCTGATTGCTGCCTGGCGGATCCTCCGGCAGATCCACACTCATATCCAAAACATTCGTTTCATCCGACTGCATGTACTTCTGGACGCGCTTAATGGACACCAGGGTCTCCGCCATCTGGGAGATGCCCTGTGGGAAGAACACGGTCATGGTGGTGCGTAGTATATTATAGTAGGCGGTGATCAGGAAGGCCACTTCCGGCGTGAGGAAGGTACCGAGCAGCACGTAGCCCACCAGACTCAGGAAAATGGAGACTCGCGTCAGGAAGATGATGAAGGAGAGCAGAATTCCCCTAATGTAGGACACATGTCGGATGGCATTGATCTCCTTCTTGCGCGCATAGGCCACCATTTGCTCGAAGGGCAACTCCCAGGCGTACATTTTGATCACCTGGATGCCCGAGATGATCTCGTTCATCATCCGCACCCGTTCGTCTGTTCGCAGAGCGGTTCTGAGTCGCAGAACTGAGGTCCTCTTTCCCAGATATC